CGGGGAAACTTCTGCTCTGAGACCACCCAGGGGCTACTGCAGTAATGAAGGCAAGAACTGATGGTAGGAGGACCAGGTATTGGGCAGTGTAGATGCAGATCCCAGGACAGATTTGAGAAATACTGTGGGAGACAAACTTGAGAGAGTAAAAAGGAGACAGACTGGGAATTTATGTACTGAGATGGGAAGGTAGAGGACAGGTGTGAGGAAACCCCTACTGAAAATGTTGAGTTTGAGTTTCTTTGATGCATCCCTGTAGACATATCCCCGAAGGGAGTTGACTATACAGGTGTAAAACTTAAGAGAAAGAGATCTGGGCTGCAGATGCAGATTTGAGAAATAAAAGTTTGTTATCGAGACAATGGCAGGGAAAGAATCAATAGAGAAGATATATAAGCCAGAATTTGAGGGAGGCATAAGACTGTAAAATTTACCAGAGAGGAACCAGGTATGCAGAGATAAAACTTAAGACATCTGAGGTGGGTATCCTCAAGTCTTTGACTGAATATCAGGCTGTACATTCATAGGGTGAAATTGAAGTAGGATAGAAGAAATAAAATCTAGATAGAAAGGAGAAAAGGGAATTGAGGTTTAAAAATTGTACGTTTAAGAAAAACTGCAGTTTCAAGATAAGCCTTTTATCCTTGCAGAAAACTCACTAAAAAAAATCCTAAAAGTCCTTTTGGCAATAAGCCTACAGATCCTGGCACTAGACTTTTTACCTGTAATCTGCACTTCTTCCGCCCCCAAAGACAGCAATATTGGTGGGCAGCGGATTCCAACTTCAAGCACACACAGATGGTCCATAGTGTAACCTGACAGACAGAGGAAATACACATTCTAGGTTACTCTACTTGAAGACACTCCTTCAGTGTGCCCCACTTTGGCTTGAAAGGTGTCTCCTTTCACTCAGCATCTGCACCCCATTTGTTTGAGTGCACCCTAACAATCCCTTCTCATGTCTCTCTTACTGATGCATCCTGAAAATTCTTTTTCTGTGATGGGAGTCAGCAGACGTACAAACTGATTTTAAAAGAGTGGGTAAAGTCCTTTCTCTCAGCTTGGTGACAAAACTGCATGAGACTGGGAAAGAAACAACTTTCAGGAAAAGAACAGTTACTGAGAGAGCCTTGAGTCACACAATTCTAAAAGTTCACACAGGGTCAAGGATTGTCTAAGTTTCCGTCAATCAGCAGAAACAATCTTGCTGGGTATGTGGGGAAGTTTGTGGAAACCCCAGGAAAATCATACTTTAGAAATGGCATTCTAGAAGGAAGGCTTCTTTCAGATTGTTCTTTATAAATCCTAATATTGCCTGGTGTGATGAAGCTTGTCTGTAAGCATTTCTGTAAGCAGGAAATTGATGCAGGAGGATTACAATATCTGGGATTTTGGTCACCCTAAAGTTCATAGCAAGACCCTGTCTCAAAAGCAAACCAAACCAAACCAAACCAAACCAAACCAAACCAAACCAAACCAAACCAACAATAAAAACCCAAGAGCAACTTAAAAAGTAATCAAATAGAATCATAAGTAATTTAATCATTGGGCAGAATTGCATGCAAGTCTTTCCAGCAATATAGCACAATAAAAAATGTAAAATGTATAATGTCTAGCATCTAATCAGAAATTTCTAAATAAGTAAAGAACCAGGAATCAAAACTGAGAAGAAAAAAAACAACAGAAACACAATCAGGAGTGAGAATAATGATTATATAGTAGACACAGACATGATTACAATTTTTATAAATGATGTTCAACATCCTGAACATTAACAAAAAGACCTGACCTTTTTTTCCTTTGGGAAATATAAAGGAAAATCAAAAATTACTAGCAAGGAAACACACAATGGCTCAAAATTGAAATTTACTGGACAGATGACTAGCAGATTAGGTATTATGGAAGATAGGATCAATAAACTTGAAAAAGTAGCTACAGATATTAAGCAAAATCAAATACAGAGAGGAAAAAGAAGGCTGAAAAATATTGCCCTTTAAAAATCACGTTAAATGGTCTACCACACATGTAGTGGAATAGCAGAAGCAGAAGAGAGATCAGAGGACAAATATTTGCAACAGATGTCCAGAAATTGTACAAATTTGAAGAAAACTTAAATTGTACATGCTAAGAAGTGTGACCAATGTTAAACAGGAGAAATATAAATAAAATCACACCAAGGCAAACATTTAAAAGGGAAGGTGGTAAAAGAATGTCTACAAAGCAGCTGGAGTAAAAGGTTATATTGGGAGAAACAAAGATAAGAAAAAAATAGTCCTCTCATAAGAAATTATATGAGCCAGAAGAAAATTGCTGATATCATGAAAGCATTATTAGGACCAAACAAATTAAACTAAAACACCTGTCAAGATGGAATTCCTAGAAAAAATATCTTTCCAAAAATGGGGACAAAATAAAGATTTTTCAGGCAAGCAGAAATGAAGGAAATTTAGTACCAGATAAAAGAATTTCTTTAGACAGAAAGAAAATGATAATAAAAGGAAACAAAATAAAGTTTGTCAGAAATGGTACATATTAGCATTACTATAATAGAAATTGCTCATAATTTTTAAGATTTCTTAAAAAGATGATTGCTTAAATAAAAACATATCATGGGATTTTAAATTTAAGGGAAGTAAAATGTCTGGCAGCAGTCACACAAAAATTGAGAAGTGAGGGGAAATATACATCTGCATGTGGTTTGGTATTATTTGAAGGTATAGTGATAAGCTAAGAATGTACATTGTACAGATTTAAGAAGTGTGAACCAACATTAAACAGGAGAAATATAAATAACATCACACCATGGTAAACATTTAAAAGAAAAGAGGATAAAATCTATTAACCTAACTTCAGAGCTACTCTCCCAAAGCAAAACCAAAATGACATAGCTAGTAAATTAATATTAGAAATAGAAAGAAATCATAAGGTTCTTAGTAATCCAAAAAAAGCCTAGAAATGGAGTAAAGAAATAATAGGAAAGAAAGCAAAAAAAAAAAAAAAAAAAAAAACAAATAGCAAGATTTAAAGCAACCATACCAAAAAATTGCCTTAAACATAATATCCTAAAGACTTCAATTAAAATAGAGACTGTTAGGGTAGACTAAAAAAGAACACAACTACAGGCTGTCTACAAGAAATATACTTTAAATATAAAGACACAGATGTTTTAAAAGTAAAAGGATGGGAAAATATATATGAGATAAACAATAAATGAAAGAAAACTGGAGATGCTGTCTTATGGGTTCTCTCTAGATGTTCCCCAAAGCCTCAGATGGTCATAGGTGGGCTTTTCAGAGGTGGCAGGATCTAGGGTGTATGATGCTGGGGCTAAGTGTGTGATGCAGGGATCAAGCACCTGACGCTGGGGTCAAGGGTGTGTGATTACTAAAGTAGTCCATTGACTGGTATGATGTGGTTCTGGGTGTGGATAATGGGAAGGTCTACCCAGTGTGTGGGTGGCACTATCCAAATAAACTGACCGAAAATAGAGACCGGGGAAGAGAACTGCACTGCTGAAGTCAAAGAAATATCACAGAAGTCCCCAGAAGTCTCCATCAGCGGACTCCCTTGTGGGGAATGCTTTTCAATCACTTACCATAGAAGAAGGTAGCACAAGGCTGGGCTGTACAGTGGCCACTACACTGGAACATGCTAAGTCATGAATGAATGAATTGTAAGGAGAAATTTTGCTTTCAAACCTTAGAAATCCTCTATTACTTATCTTTCTAGTTCTATTTTCCTTAGGTGACTAAGAAATACTTGAAGAACGACCCTGGGAAGCAATGGAAGAGTAATTGGTGTTGGACTTGGACAGCATTTGGTTCAAGTTCTAGGATGACAAGGCACTAGGCTGAGCTCAGCAGGGTCCTTACAAGTTCTGCTCCCTTGCCAGCTTCCTTTCCTCCACCTGGGGATTCGAGGGTTCTGGAGAACCAGGCCTCTTCTTCAGATTTTACCTCCAAATCACTATGTGCTGAGTTACAGGGGAGATAGTGGGGAGGCGAAGATGGGTTACACAGATTTCACTGTTAATTTTGAATCTGATTGCGGAGTCAGACATAGACACACATATAACACCTGACAAAAATCCTACAAGTGTAAATCAAGGTGTAGGGAATAAGCGTTTCCAAGGAGTGAGTGGGACTAGCGAGGTTTTGTGAAGAAAGTTTGGGTGTTGAAAGACTAGCAGAATTTCAGTGAAAGCTGAGGAGCAGGCTGTAGAAATAGTCTAAAGAAAGCTGCAGGGAGGATGTGGAAAACTTTGAACTCATTGAAGAGGACAACACATCAGAGCCGTCTGAATTTAACAATTCAGACTGCGCTCCTGCCTTTATTTTTTGAATTAAGTCTAGTGGCACATTTTTTTGTATATAATAATGATCACATTCATTGTGCTTCTGCCTTTACAAGCTCATTTATGGTTGAACAGGCAAAATAAATAAGCACACAAATCTATGCAAATCGGGTGAACTTCATAAAAAGAAGCGATTACAGCCAGTATTGAAGATTCTTCTGAATATGAAGGGTGATGGAATGTTTCCTTCTCGAGTCCCCGAGTTCCCGTGTTCAAAGCACCCCTTCAAAATGTGCTTGACCGAAGTTAGCAGTTAGGAGTGAGATTCTGCCATGTCTAGATTCAATTTCAAATTATTTAGCTTCTCCGTACTCCTGTTAACTTTTAAATTATGTGAGGCTATTGTTTGGGAAGTAATGCGCAGCATATTTCCCACCAGCCAGGTCGCATCCTACTAACCAGCCGGCCCATTAGCTGGCATCTGCGGAAAAAAGGTTCAAACCAGCTTCCTGCCTAGGCAGCACCACGTGGTCTCATCTCTAAGCAACAACAGAAAAGCGTCTGAGCCCCGGCACGGACACTTCTTGCCTGGAGGATTTGTTTTTTAAATCCATCCAAAAGAGCCAATCACAGGCGGCAGCTCGAGCGCGCGGAAACGGATTGGCGCACAGCTGTTTACAGCGGCCAATAGGCGTCGGAGGCAAGTTTGAGCAGGACCGGAAGCGGGCGAGGGCCCTCCGGGGCGGCGGTGGCGGGCGGTTTGAATCGGGAGCGGGGCCCGAGACCGTGGGGACTACGACAAAGCGGGCTGTCGGAGACGTGGCCTCAGCCCCCCGGAGCAGGGCAGCAAGGTGAGCGACCTGGAGCGACTCCAGTCTGGCGGTGGGTTAGTGGATCTCGGGTTGCTGCCCGTGGTGCGCCCGGGGTGTGCTCCCTGCACATCCGGCCGAGGGTCGAGGGTCTGCACCCTGTAGGGGATCGGTTTCCTCGGTAGGGTGAAAGAATCGCCGGTGACCAGGTATCTCCTTCCGGCCGTCTGACGTCGGAGCCCCAACCTTGTTGCTGGGATCTGGATTGGGCCCTAGCTAGGTTTGCGTTTCTTTCCCTCCACCTTGATTTGGTCGTGCCGGTATGCCAGGCTCTGCTCCGCGATCAAGAGTCAGAAAGAAATGACCCGAGCCTAACCGCGAGGGGCCTGGTCCGGAGAAGGTCCAGCGCACGAGCACCCGCGGCGCGCAGGCCCTGGGGTTTTTGGCGGTGATGGGGAATCCTGATAATGAGAAATTGTGAAAATAGGCTGCAAAGCTGGGAAGGGGGTGGGCGGCACCTAAGCGCTTCCTTGGGGACTTTACAGAGCTCCGGTGACCTGGGCACGGAGCGTCCCCACATATTTAAGATATAAAGATGGTTATTTTCTGGACAGGATTCGTCGTTTAGTTCTGCAGATGCTCTCGCAGGAAGCTTCACATCCAGGCCTTTTCTTTGGCCTTTTCTCTCCCACCCACACTCAGCCCCTTGACTCTTACCTGCAGGTCTACTGTTTTGGTTCTTTTGCCCCAGGGGTCCTAGACAGGTGGCTCGTGCCCCATGTCTTAGCAGGTCGCCCTTTGCTGTGTTCACAATTAGCTCGGGCCTGGTATAGGATATATTAATATAGTATAAATACAGAAGTGTATTTGTATAACTGTGTCTTAGATTTCCAAACGGAAAGACATTCAACTTGCCAGGTTTTCTTCTGTTTATTTCCCTTATGTCTGTCCTCTTTCTTAGTTGCTTCTTTTCATATTTTGCTGGCTATGGCATCTTGATGTAATGACTTCAGTGGCCAGCTAAATTGTTTACCATAAATTATTACTTTTGAGACAGAATCTTGCTATGTAGTTTAGGCCAGCCTTGAACTCACTGTGTAGCCCAGTCTGGCCTCAAACTTGTGCTGATTTTCCTGCCGCAGCCTCCCCAGTGCTGGGATTACAGTGTGCACCATTATGGCTTGCTCTGTACTACTCCTGAGCAAATAAGCTAAATTGCCCTTTGTTAGTTGAAAGGCATGAGGTTCCTTTCAGTACTTTTTGGGTAAATGGGAGTGGAGTTGAAGGTGTTCTGCAGGGTGCAGGGGTGCAAACCTGTCACCCCAGGTTATCTAGAGGCTGAAGCAGGGGAGTTGCAAGTTTAAGACTGGCCTGGAAAATTTAACAAGATAATGTCTCACCAAACCAAACCAAACCAAACCAAACCTTGGGAATGTAGCTCAGTGGGAAAGCACTTACCTAACATGTACAAGGACCTGGGTTCCATATCTAGTACTGCAAGGAAAGAAAAAAAGCGGCGGTCTGGGGGAAAATTACACTGACAGTGAAAACATATCTTCCCAAGGCTTGATGTCTAACTTATGTGTTGTCCAAGACCTTTGTTTCTTCTTTGTTTTTGAAAATCTTTTTATGAGTCTTAGGTAAAACAAAAACAGATCCTCACCCTGTTGCCGAAATAACTAGAAAATGACGTTTCTCTCATTTTTAGACTTTTCGTTCTAAAGGCTAAAGTTAAGAATAATTGCCACGCTTTTCTCCGAGATGATGTGAGTTACTCTAAGAGGCGGGGAGAAGGAGGCAGGGCCAGTGCACCTTTTGTACCATTAGCTGAAATACACAAATCAGAAAGTGTTTTCAAGAACTGACGTAATGGCTAACACATATAGAAAGCTCAGCGGGAGATAACACTGTTGTAAGGCTTGAGAAAGTCATTACCATTGCTATCTTCATTTTATAGTAAGGAAACTGAGACACAGAGCCCTTAAATAACTTGCCCAAGGTAACACATCCTTGAAGCAGCTGTAGTGGACTCGAATACCCTTTTAGTCACTAAGGGTGAATAACCCCTTTCTCTCTGACCGAGCACAGCTTCTTTTTTAGGAACAGTCTTAGTCATAAGGTAGCATTCACTCCTGGCTCATTCAGACACTGGTTGCAGGGAGAGGGTGTGTGGGTATGTGCGAAACTGACAGGCAGCCAGCTGTGGGGCTCTCAGGAAGGGCTTTCCTGAGGGACAGGCGAAAGCATGATGGTAATTAATCATGGGGAGCTGGAAACGAGAGCATTTGCAGAATAATGTGTCAAGTGTTTTGTTTGTAGCCAGGATCTCGGTCACCTGAAAACTTTATAGCAAAGTATTCATGTTTTGTATAATGAAAACAAACCATGTGCAATTGAAGGCAGGTGACCAGGCCGGGCCTGGTGGCACATGCCTGTAATCCCAGCACCTGGGAGGATGAGGCAGAAGGATCATTGTGAGTTCGAGGCCAACCTGGGGTACAAAGTGAGTTCAAGGCCAGCCTGAATGGCATAGTGAGAACCGGTCTCAAAAAGACAGAAAAAAGCAAAACAAAACAGAGCAGGTAGCCATAAAGAAATCGAAAGACAAGAGGTAAGAAAACCCCAAAACAAGGGTGTTTCAAACAAGCATAGTGTGTGCTTCACAATGATCACCTTCCAGAGGATGAGGAGACAGATATTATCTTTCACATGTGATGTTTCACAAGTGTGATGTTTGTCTTGGTTACTTTTCTCGCGTTGCTGGGACAAAATACTTGATGCCCAAAATTAAGGAAGGAAAGGTTTATTTTGCTTACAGTTTGTGGAGGTTTCAGTCCATACTTGGCAGGTTACAAGGCAGAGTGGCACATGGCACAGGGCTACAGCTCATGGCAGCAGAACACAGCAAAAGCAGCAAGCACCAGAAGGGAGGAATGGCGGCAAGCAGCCTCTTCCTCTCCCTTACATATGCAAACTATCCACCCCAGGGTGGGTGTAGCTCTCATACCCATAATCAGTCAAACTCTAAAAGCCTGCCCCATGACCTCATGAGGCTTTGGGGGGACACACAGACACAAACCATAACAATGATGTTTCACACCTGACTCTTGGAGGTAGTTAGGTAGACCCACTAGTCCGACTGAAATTTCCTTTTTTGTTGTTGTTGTTTTATTTGTTTTGAGTCAGGGTCTCGCCATGTGGTTCAGGCTGGCCTTAAACTCTCGGTGATCCTACTGCCTCAGTCTCTGAGTGTTGGGATTACAGTTATGCGCCACCACACCTGGTTTAAATTTCCTTTTAACTATATGAAGATCAACAGTCTGGTTGTTCTTTTCAGTTCGCTGATACATGTTGGAGTATTAAAGAAGGGGGAACAGAATGAGCTGGGCTTTGGAAGAATGGAAGGAAGGCCTCCCTACCAGAGCGCTACAGAAGATTCAGGAGCTGGAGGGGCAGCTGGACAAACTCAAGAAAGAGAAGCAACAGAGGCAGTTTCAGCTTGATACGCTGGAGGCTGCGCTGCAGAAGCAGAAGCAGAAGGTGCTGCGGGCGCTGGGGTTGTGATGGTTAATTTAGAGAGAAGGGATTTTTTGTCTGTGTGTGGCCCCTGCACCCCCCTTTCAGATACTTCTCATTGCTTCTGCTCTTTCCACCTCTGTCCTCATTTCTGCCTGCCTGCTGACAGCCAGAGATGTTGGGGTCCGTTCTAACTTCAACCAGGGACCCTGAATTGGGAGTCGCTTTTGCACTGCACAGGGACAAGCCCCAAGTCCTGGGCTTCTACTGGAGTCAATGTCAGAGCCTTTTGCAGTTCAAACAGAGACACTGTCTCAGAGTGGGCTTTGGACCTCGCTCTCCCCCAGCCTCTTCTCTTTGGGTCCAGGGAATGAAAACCTCATCAGCCCTTTCCTTGTTTTACCTCTGTGCTAGCCCATGAAGTAGTGGTACGAGCAGGGCTTCTCAAATGTCTTTGCTTGTGGAAGAATTTTCTGATTCTTACCATACCTGGCTTTAGCAGCCCGGCTTGAAAAGGATTTGCTAAGGGGGAGAGCTTGGTGTTGATTGTTTTCAATTCTGGGAGGGATTTAAAGCCTGCATTTCTAGGAAGGCAGGGTGCAGCCCTGACCCAAAACAGTGTTATAATACATGACTTTGTGGAGCCGCTTCTGTCTGCAGGCTTCAGGGTGTTCACAGAGCGCTGGCATCTCGCTCACTACGACCGTATGTGAGGAAATCGGTGGTCATTGTCGGGCTGTAAGCTACATTTCATTCTTGGTAAATTCACGAAATAAGGGACCCATTTTCTTCTCAATGAACCCCATTAGGTTGAAACAGAAAAATCTGAGGGCACGAACCTAAAGAGGGAAAACCAAAGATTGATGGAAATATGTGAAAACTTAGAGAAAAGTAAGCAGAAGATTTCTCATGAACTTCAGGTCAAGGAGTCACAAGTGAATTTCCAGGAGGGTCAGCTGAACTCAGGCAAAAAACAAATAGAAAAATTGGAGCAGGAACTTAAAAGGTAATTATGTGGATGGTATTTATGTGGGTACTGTTTGTGTGTATTCATCAGATGCATTTAGTATTTTAACAGTGTGGTCATTATATATTACCATGTTTTTTTCCCCTAGTGAAATAAACAGTGATTCAGTTCTGTCACTACATAAACACATCAGATGGTTGCTTGATCATTCATTTATTCATTTAGTACATTTTTTTTTCAGATTTTTTTTCTTTTTGAGGCAGGGTCTCATATGTAGTTCAGGCTGGCCTTGAACTCACTATGTAGCCCAAACCAGCCTCGAACTTGCATGATTTTCCTGCCTCAGCCTCCCTAGTGCTGGGATTACTGGATGCACTACCATGCCCTGTTCATTTTCTTTTCTTTTTTTTATTTTAAAGAAAATAATAGAAAAGAACGATAGCAAAATACCAACAACATAGACAAAAACAAAACAAAGCAAAAATAATAAAAATGATACAGGATTTCTGAACAAAATGATAGGAATTAACAGTGGTTGTTATATTATGTATTGTTAGCTTCAGTGAAGTTGCTCAGATTACTACATGTAAGAATGCAAGATTGATCAAACCATTAAAGAGAATAAAAAAAAAAACAAAGAAAACATTAGAAATGATAGAGTTTCACTAGACAACATGGTAGGGATTCAGCAATAGTTGTTATATTGCATATTGTTGTCTTCAAATTAGGTGTTCAGATTACTAGATAAAGGCATGCAGAATTGGTCAAAAAGAAAAAAATTAGGCATTAACTGTTCCTTTCAATAAACGATTAGACTTCAGCAGTACAGTTACCCCAGCTATCCTTCTATGTACATGTGTATGTATATATATATTTTTTCCCCATCTTTCTTTCTTTTTCTCCTTTCCCTCATCCCAGTTGTTCCTTCCTTTGAGCAATTTCTTTCCCTTTCATAATTGTACATTTTGGGTTTTATTTACTCTTTCAGGTTTTTACACTAGGGAGACCATATGATGTTTACACATGTGGGTCCAATTTATTTCACTTATGAGTATGGTCTTTAGTTACATCCATTTACCTATAAAAGCCTCCAGTTTATCTTTTTTATAGCTGAGTAATACTCCATTGTATAAAAATACCACATCATTTTTATCCATTCCTCAGTTGATGGGCATTTCTGTTGTTACCAAGACTTAGCTATGACAAATTGTGCTGCTATAAACATGGGTGCACATATATCGCTGTGGCATGATGTTTTTAATTCTTCTGGGAGGATACTCAGAAGGCGAATCCAGCTCATTTTCTTATCAGTACAAACTGTAGTGGACGATTGCATTCCTTGTGGGGAGTTGGTACTTGTACCTCACACATCTTAACCCCTTTTTTCATCTTCTCTCTCTCTCTCTCCTCCCTGCATCTCTTGGTTGCCTTCCCTTTGAAAAAGGGCTACCTCCCTACTTCCTATTACCTGTCTTTTATGTTGCTCTTTATTTATATTTTGGGTTTCTCATATAAAGAAACTATGTGATATTTAGGTTTGTGTGTCTGATTTATTTCACTTAACATTAAGGTCTCAAGGGGCTGGGGATTTAGCTCAGTGGCACAGCGCCTGCCTGGCAAGCGCAAGCTCGTAAGTTCGATTCCTGGTACCAGAGAAAAAACCAAAAACCAAAAAAAAAAACCATTAGGGTCTCAAGATAGCTTCAGGTTTGCCTTTCTTAATGCACAGTGGGACTCCATTGTGTATAAATACCCCATTTTCTACCTCCATTCATTTGCTGATGGATCTGTATATAGGCTGCTCCCAGGATTTAGCTATTGTCAGTTGTGCTGCCATATACATGGGTGTGCGAGGATCACTATAATATTAGGTCTCTGACTCTTTCAAAAGACACCTAGAAGGGCGCTACTGTAGCTGGGCCAGGTAGAATTTCTAGTGTGGGTTATTTTGTGAAGTCTCCATCCTGGTTTCCCTAGTAGGTTCATTTAGTACATATTGACTGAACTACTCTATGTGTGGGGTCTACATTGATCCCTGAGCGACAGAATGGCCCCAAAAGACAGCAGGAAGTGACAGCATGGCTTACACCGAGGGCGCAGGTTTTTTCTGGGTTGAAGAGCTGCTGCAGGGAGCGGAGGGAAACCTAGAACAGGGGAACTCAAGGGTAAGGAGTGCGGGAGGCCTAGTGGGTACTGGAGACCAGGCGTGGACAGGGGACCTCTCGGGTTGTGCGTGCGCGCGTTTCCCTGTGTCCTGTGGGTGGAAAGCGCTGAGTCAGTGAACAGGTAGCTTGATTGATGGTTTGGGCCGGGATGACGGCCTCTAATCAGCTGGGCCAAGGAGGGTGCTGGGGGAGAGTGGCTGGAGGAGTTGCCATGGATTTCCCCGCTGGGCAGGGAGGAAAGTGTAATCCAGCGACCTTTCTGCTCAGATCTTTGGCACACAGCCTTCTGTCCCGTTTTAAACATTATGAAACAATTTGCCTATGTCTTTGCCGCGATTAGGCAATAATAAAGTTGCTTATTACAACATTTTATTAAAAAAAACCCAGTTAGATGTGTTAATAAAAATAAGTTTAATGGAGTCTCATGCTATTTTGCTAGTTTAGAAATGGTCTTTTCTTGTTCTAATGGTATGATTTTGTCAAAATTCTAGCTAAAAGGACTTTAATAAATTCTCCCATTGTAGAGTCCACAAATACCCAGAAATTTAAAAAAACAGCACAATTTTATTTTGAAATAACTTTAGATGGACAGAAAACTTGCAAAAGTAGTGGAGTTCTTACATATATCCTTCACCAAGAATTTCTTTACATAAGCAAGGTACAATTTCCAAGCCAGGGAATTCGATTCTATTAACTAGACTTTATTAGAATTTCACTGATTTTCCAGTAATCTTTTTTGTGGCTGGATTCTGATCCAGGATTCCACATTGCACTTAGCTGAGGGTTTCTTAGTGTCTTCTACAGTTGAGAGGGCTCCTTTTCTTCTGTGACCTTGACATTTTTGAAAAGTCCCACCTGGTTACTTTGGAAGGTGGCCCTCTGTTGGGGTTTGGCTGACAGTGTTTTCACTGGTGAGTGTTTCTCAATAGGAGCACGGCTGACATTTCAGGCTGGATGACTTGGTGGTACTGGGGGCAGGCTGCTATGTGGTTGGATCTCAGTGGCATTCTTGACTCGTAACCACCAGATACCAGTGGTATCTACCCCATTCCTAAGTGATGACAATTAGAGTGTCTCCAAGTATTGCCACATTGACCTTTGGGAGGGTGAGACCATCTCTGGCTGAGAACCCTTGAGTCAGACCAGGATCATCACTTTTGGGTGAGAACGCTGAAGGGTGGTTATCTGCTGTTCTCAAGCCTGGCTCCAGAGGGTGGAGGATTCAGTATTCAGTGACTTCCAACCTTGATCACTTGGTTAAGCTTCTTCCGCCGTAAAAGTCCGAATAGCTCCTCTGTAAAGTTGCTGTTTTTCCCTTTGAAGTTAATATCTTGACAGCAAGAAATTTGATTTTTGTGGTACAGCTATACTAATGTGAGTCCTACCTACATAATCAAAAATATTTTTCAATGTGAAAACATGTAAAAATCACTCTTTTGTATCAGTAATGTTTGCTGTGGTAATGTGATCTTTTTCAGACCCTTCTACCTTCCCCTCCTGCTCCGTCCAACTCTTGTTCTCCTTCCCAGTTGCAAAAACGATTTCCATTTTCTTCCATTCTTTTTTCATCCCTTTCCCTTCATTTCCTACCACCTCCATCTCTCGATCCCCTTCCCATTTGAATAGGTTCTCCCTACTCTCTACTATCTGTCTGTTATTTTGCTCTTTATTGATACTTAGTGCTTCTGATATAAGAGAAACCATGCGATATTTGAGCTTGTGTGTCTGATTTTATTCCACTTAACATTGTGGCCTCGGGGTGCATCCATTTTCCCACACGTGCCTCACGTTTGTCCTTCTCTGTGGAAAAGCACTGCTCCTCTGTGTACTCGTCTTTCTGTGAAAGTGGTTATTTTCTTGCACTGGAATCATTTTCTTGATATCCCGGTTTTGTTTCCTGTCTGTGAAGGGAGGTGGTTATGTGAAAGCTGCACGTTAGGACGCTATAACCTCTGTCTCCTGAGTTTTCCTACCACTCCCAATGCTGTGAGGATCAGGGTCTTGTCTGCTTAAGCCTATGTTCACAGCACCTGGCATTTCAGTGAAGAAAAGATCGATTTTGGTTTTGGAGAACAAGTGCTCAGAAGTAGGAGGCACACCTCAGAATGCTGGCAGGTTTATTTCTCTGGAAAACATATTTTGGGTGCTGGTTTCAGAAATACTTGTTTTAATTAATTTGGGCAGAACTGGATATATTTTCAGTATGTTATGGAAAGCTGCTTTTGTAGACATTTCTATATTTCACTGCATAATGCCATTTAGTAGCGATACCTGCAACTATAAAGTCCTCATGACTCCAGGGCTAAGGTAGCAACTGTTAAATGTTAGCTTCATTATTATCAATGTTATTACCATTAAATATATCATGATTACTATCAATATTATTGGTCATCCGTGTCATCATTATGGGGTTCAGACACCCTCATGGCATGTTTGATTTAAAAATGTTCTTATTGCTGGGTATGTTGTCATGCATCTGTTATCCCAGCTACTCAGGAGGCTGAGGCAAGAGGGTTTCAAGTTGGAGGCCATCCGGTATATTGGTTACTTTTCTCTCGTTGCTGAGACAATATCTGACACCCAAAACTAAGGAAGCAAGGAAGGGTTTATTTAGCTCACAGTCTGTGGAGGTTTAAGTCCATAATCGGCTGGCTCCAAGGCAGGGTGGCACATGGCAGAGGGCTACAGTTCATGGTGGCGGAAAACAGCAAGAGCAACAAGAGCAAAAGGGAGGAGTGGCAGTAAACAGCCTCTTTCTTTCCCTTATATATGCTAAGTATCCCCCCCCAGGGCGGATGTAGCACTCATACCCGTAATCCCAGAATTGGATCATGGATTAATCATAAACTCTAAAAACCTGCCCCATGACTGCATGAGGCTTTGGGGGGACATCCAGACACAAACCATAACACTGGGTAACACAGATCTGTCTCAAAAAAGTCTTATTAGTTATGTGGTTATGAATGTTTATAAGAAGGTACAAGCTGTGTATGTAAAACCTTGAGCATAGTTTTTAGATTATAAAAATTTGACAGTACAAAAACTATAGACTACAGACCAGGAATGTATAACTCACCAGTGGCCCCTGATCAGGTTTCAGGAAGGTCTCCAGGAGTCAGGGTCAGCTGTCTGGAATATCTGTCAAAACTGTTGATACTGGCAGTATGGTAGAGCTCAACTCAGAAAACCGTTTAATTTGGTTGTTTTTGGTAGTGATTGTTTTCATTATTCTGCTTACAGGGAAGGAGAAACAAGAGATTTATGACAATAAACTGCAGGTTAGACTTTGCTTAATATTTAAGATAGCTTTGTCTTCTTTTGTGAATGAAAGGCTGGGGAAAAGGAGGGAAGGTGTGAATCAGAGAGGAAAAAGAAACACTGGTTTCACAAGATCCTTGAGTTCATCCCCAGAATTGTCACTGGAGGGGCACTGCACCTCACGACACTTAGGACCCATTTACTACTTTCATGTACGTGCGGTTTCTTTTGACGATGGAAGTCTCTGCTGTAACTTTTGGAATCTGTGGACTCGGAATATCTAAAGATTCTTAGGAATTTGGGAGTTTTGGGCCCTGGGGGGAAAACAGGCCTAGGGTCTAACGCTGGGTGACTTGATGGTGCCTTCCGCTACACTTTCTGTCTCCTTCCTACCTCTTCCTGGTTTTTCTTTAATACCTCAGAAGGAGCTTGTTAGACCTCTGCTGGGCTGTAGAACTGCCCTGCCCAACACAGCAGCCACTGGGTCCATGCTGCTACAGATGGAGGCCGATGAGCAGTATACACAATGCGCGTCCGATTCCGAACGATTCCGCATTGATAATTTTCACAAGGATTACAAGTCAAAGTGATAGTGCCTTTATTTACCCTGTAAACAGCAAGCTCAATCAAATATGAAAATTAATTTTACGTGTTTTCTGTGCTAATAGATTTCCGAGTGCAGCGCTTTACCCAAGGTGAGCTTCAGTGTGGCACTTTGATTTCCTGAGCTGTCGCTATTTTCAGCTCATGCAGCGCCTCTTCCTCCCCAGGTTGAATTTGGAGCTGGGAAACTGAGCTTCTTTCACTGTTGCTTCCTGCTTTGAACCCTCTGCCCCGTGAGAGAGCAGCGTCTCCCGTTAGCCGCGCCAGTGGGGCACTGCATTTGTTTCTTCCGTTAAGTAAAATCAGACATTTGAGACTCCTGAGAACCAACATTTCTGTAACAGAGGAATGGAACCCTCTTTTAACATTGGTCTTGGGTTCTGAGAGGCTTCAGAATTTCCTTAAATGCAATGCAGCACTCACCTTCCCTGTTTCTTTGTAACTGTTTTCAGCCAGATCTGTTCTAGATGCATTATATTTAATTTTTATGTCTGCTTTCAAAATGCCACGTCATATGATTTGACCCCCTTTCAGGGGTGGCACTCCCCACCTGGGTTTCTCAAGTTCAGTGTTCCTTCGTACCCCTGCGTTTTCCTTTGGCTTAGAGGAGAAAGTCTACCTGGAGTGCATGCCCGGCCTTCCCGCTCTTAGCTGCTAGAGTGGTTATTACCATCTTTGTTACAGCCTTTTTATAACACTGTGGTTGTTGGAATATAATTGTATTTCTCTGCCTAGCCTTGGTTGTTAAAGAATTGGTTCCTTTAAAGTGTCTGTTGGGTAAATGGAACGTGTAAGAATTCTTAGAGGATGGTTTCCTTTGGAATTTTCTTACTGTCTGGGCATGTGTGGTATCTGTTTTCTGTCGCCCTTATTCTTATCTGATTTGTGGCCCCTTTGGGTCCTTTTCCAACAGGTGTAAATTGGAGCTTGAAAGAAGCCAGCAAGCCGCGCAGTCTGCAGACGTCTCTCTGAATTCGTATAACACACCACAAAAAATTTTTGCCACTCCGCTAACGCCAAGTCACTGTTACAGCGGTAAAGATTTTTTCCCCTTGGTCTGAACGGCTCCTTCATTGAGATTTTAGTTCTGTGAAAGAAATGAATGAACTCAACTTTGAATTCAGGTTTTAATTTGGATATTTAAAAGAAGGCAGCCCCCTATTGTATATTCATTTGCCTGTCTGTTGGGTTATGTCGCAGCCCTGGGGGAAGCATTAAGCGCTCCACTTTATCATTCTGTGGCGTACTTTAAAAGAGATGCAGTTTCAGAATATTCAAAACACCTATGTTTCCATACATTTCAATATTTGAGTAATTTGCTCAATATTTTGACCTGTTGCCCGAACCGCTATAAACTTTCTGCTTAGCGCACTGACTGTTGTTTCTGGATGAGTACATTCATTCATTGTTGACCTCTGAATTTCTTTCCAGCACCACTGACTGGAATAAAACCATATTTCATTGTCTGTGTTAGGTTCCAAATATGAAGACCTCAAAGAAAAATACAATAAAGAAGTTGAAGAACGGAAAAGATTGGAGGCCGAAGTTAAAGCTTTGCAGGCTAAAGTAAGTTCGTCACGATTCCCAGGAGAGAATGTGCAGCTACATAGCTGCGGACGTGCCCTGCTGTCTGGTAGACTAAGGCAGAGCAAGGTTTCTTTCCCGTAGAGCTGACAAGTTTTTCAGAAACTGAGAAAAACGTTCCTGACTCTGGGTGACTGCTTTCTAGTTTTTGTTTTTTTGAGACAGGGTCTCACTATGTAGCTCAGGCTGGCCTTGAACTCACAGTAATCCTCCTGCCTCAGCCTCCTGAGTGCTAGGGTTCCAGGCATGCACCAGCTCTTTTTATTTTTAAATATAGGTGGGAGTGAGAAAAATGGAGTGGGGAGGTTAGTTTATCTCCAGATAATGAATGTTTGTGAATTCTAGGGGAACCATAGCTGTACAGTGATTTCTCTGTTGAGATTTGGGGAGAGCGAAGGGGTGAGTCCGAAGAGCGCAGGGCCGGAGAGCGGGGCCTGATGCTCACAGCATGGATGATTTTGTCACCTGGAGGCGACTGTTCGCTGTCCAGTGTGATAGAACGAGATTTTTGCTGGGGATGTGGCGCTTGAGCCTCACTATTTGTGAAATGTTGATTTCAGAGGGGAATATTACTAACTGTCCTCAATTCTTTCTTTCTTTCTTTCTTTCTTTCTTTCTTTCTTTCTTTCTTTCTTTCTTTCTTTCTTATTCGAGGCAGGGTTTCTCTATGCAGTTCAGGCTGGCTTTGAGGGTGAACCCTGAAAATCCTTGTTATCTATTCCATTTATTTCTACCTGTTCTGTTCTCAGGATAGCACTTCTTTAAGAAAAAAATTATGCCAGTTTGGTGTTTAATAATATATTTATTGATACCAGACGAGAAGATGCAATTCAACCAACAGTTTGAGGTTGGAGTGGGTACCTACTGAGCACTGAGAGTGCTGCTATGTCAGTTCTTCACCGACATAGATTCCCATTGCATCCTTGTTTTGTTTCGTCTCCCCCTGCCCCGGGTATCGGGAATCGAACTCACGATGTCGCGCTTGCCAGGCAGTTGCTCTGCCGCTGAGCTAAATCCCCAGCCCCCGCATCCTTGTTTTTAACGGAGACTGCGAGTCTCTAGCGGCCTCAAGCCTCATCCTCTCGCGAGAACACTGCAGTGCGGGTCGGGAGCCCGGTCTCAGGGTCAGTCAGAGAGAAGGGAGCAGGGACAGCTTGACAGCAGCGGAGCGCCCTGACGAAATAGCACATGCTCGAACGGCATTTTTCCGGGAAGTGTGTGGTAGCAAGCGAGTCTTGAAAGGTTCTTGAGCTGAAGTTTAAATTTAATTCTCTTGGTGCAAAGCTCCGGGGGTGAGGGGTATGACCGGGGAGGCAGAGGAAAGCCGACTTTGGGACTGAAAGTGTCAGTGAGTGCTCGCGGGTGTTCCGTGGAGCTAATGAGGGCCGTGCAGACTTAGCCTTTGGAGAGTAGGTGGCGCCTCAGGCCACAGTGGCTTCACCCTTCAAGGCCGGGCAGTGTGGCCATGGAAAATGTCATGGCTGAGTATCGGGATCGCGTGGCTCCCTTGACCTGATGAACAGTCTGTCTTGGTATGTGGCCGTGGCTTCATATTTTATGTGAAAATACGCAGCGCTGGCGGCCGATACTTGCAAAGGGCTCTGAAGGATTTCTGTTTTCGCAGAGAGCCAGTCAGGCGCCTCCCCAAACCACCATGAATCACCGGGACATCGCCCGGCACCAGGCTTCCTCGTCTGTGTTCTCCTGGCAGCAGGACAGGACCCCGCATCGGCTTTCATCTCACTCTCAGAAAACTCCAAGCAGGAGGGGTTTCTCCACAGCTCACATATTTGGGGAAGAAGAGGCAACTCCGAGCAGATCCATTTTGCAGACGGGGAAAAGAAACCCTGATAGCAGTTGCTGGGACCATTCTGGCGGCTCCCCTCTTGTGGAGCAATTGAAAGGCCACAATCAAGGTAATTTCTGGAGCTAAATTAAGTTTAAATTAAATATTCCCGTGCTCATTGCAGAGGCGCCTCCAGGTAGTATTACATATGCGTTTTGTTAGACACAACAGTAGGTAGCCGGTGACCTCACGCGGATGGGAACCATTGCCCTTTCCCGTAACCTTAAGAGGCATCACAGTTTCCGGATGTGCTTTTATTTGTAAGGAAAACCCGATGTGTCCCGAGCTTTTCAAGGTGGGCCGGTAAGCTTTGTTTTATCTTTGCCGGAGCAGATCAAGCAGGCTGGTTCCCAGGCTCCCAGTCTGGCTCCTTCTGTGGCCGCTGGCACAAGGCAGTGGTGTGGCCCGGGCGGCGAATCTCAGGACGGCGCTGCCCTCACTGTCCTGCCACCCATGTGGCAGCGGACCTGTAACCTTGGACACCGTGCGCGCCGCGGCCGACAGCCAGGCACACCAGGTGGCGTTTTGGAATCTGCTCTGTGTACTGGGGCAGTTTCCAGCGCTGTGATACATCAGCGGTGTTCACTTGGTGAGAGCTGTCACTCTGCCAGTGCCATTGGAACCTGTGTCATGCAGATATAGGAAAAAAGTGAGAAAAATCACTGTTAATTTTGGCACTGCTATTCAAGGTAAACCTACTGGTAGGTTCAGGAGGGTGAACGTTTTACTGCCTAGCACTCAACTGCATGGCTATGGGGACAGAACAGGAGGTACGGCTGAGATAGACGCTGAATTCTAAATTAAAAATAAACCGTTACACTCAGAGACACATTGCCATTAACCCCCCTCACTTCCAGCACGCTTATCCTGTTGTTCTTGCCTCTTTCTCTGTCGTCCTGGAAGTCGCCTTTCCTGAGTCTTTATGAAGTGTGATTAAAAGTGCAGCGAATGCGGCTGCCGAGTGCCAGCCAATGGGAAGGCAGCTCACCAGATAGCGTGTTCTCCTGCACCTCATTGGCTGAGTCTGGCCTTGTGCAACTTCTGGCTTTTCCCCAAAATGTTTTGAAAGGTCAATATTTTGAATAGATTCCGGACATTCAAGCAGCCACTATAAAGACATGAAAGAGGACTTCCAAAACTACTTCCGAAAGTTGCAAAAACAGTGGGATAAACATGTTCAGAGCAAGAGGGTGTATTTTGAGGTGGATTAATGACAATGTGTCTTTTGCTATAGTAAAACTTTAAGGGGCTGGGGATTTAGCTCAGCGGCACAGCGCCTGCCTAGCAAGCACAAGATTGTGAGTTCGATTCCCAATACCGGGGAAAAAAAAAAAACTGAAAAAAGAAAACAAACAAAACTTTAAATGTAAACGTTGATTGTGTTTCTCGAGCACACATTATATTAGCTTGCTAGCATATACAACAAGTGGTCACTTTAACCAAAAGTATTATATTGGATATACTTTTTGCAGCCTCTGTAAGATACTGTTTGTGAGTTTAGAAAAGCATTTCCTCCCCAGGTTTTTCTGTGAAAACAGAAGAAAATCCATTTCTTTTTCCATAGAGTAATTTGACTACAAATGAAAGTAGACATTAACCACTGAAATTAAATTCAGTTGGCTTCTTTGTTGTAGTAAATTATTTATATTTGTCTCACTGAAGATTTGAGAGTAGAGTAAAATAAAAGATAAATTCTAAACGTTTTGTGAAAAACTATGTGAACTGGAGTGTGGTTTATGTTTGTGGTTTTAAGAGCTACGGAGCAAGGTTAATGAGCTGGAGCTACGTCTACAAGGGCAAGAGAAAGAAATGCAAGGCCAAGCGCATAGACTTCAAGAGCTGCAACTCCAGCTGGAGAAAACAAAAGTGGAATTAATTGAAAAAGACAAAGTTTTGAACAAAAATAGGGATGAACTCGTGAGAACAACTTCACAGTATGACCAGGCAGCAACCAAGGTACTTGAATTTTTATGAATTATTGAGAAATCTTCTTTTCATCCAATTCTTTGCAGGGTATTTTGTACTGAGTGTTTTGTACTTATAAAATAAATGTGAGCGATGGTCTTTGCCAGTATATAGTAGGCAGTGTGGCCGCCATGGAAATGGGAAGCTACCTTAGGGCCAGGCGGGGATGAGATCCGTCCTGGCTGCGCCCCTGCAGTGGGGTGGTCGCTTCTACGTCCCCAAAGGTGGGAGAGGACGAAGGCGATCGGTACGCGGCACCTGGGCCGGCACATGGCACACTGTATAAGCGAGCTTTCAGAGAGGGTTAGGACGTGTGCTTGAGTTTAATTGAGCCACCACGGGATCCAGTACTTAGATTCCTTCAGATTGGCTCATTTGTAGTTGAATTTCTGCCCAGCCAGGCCTTCCGACGTATGAGTGACATTTACCTTCACATTTCACCACGTCGTGAGATAAGATCACCAGATCTGTGTTCTTGTTAACATATTTGATTTTTTTTTTTTTAGCAGATTGTGAATTAAGAATTGTGCCTAGGGCAGTGCTGACGATACAGTTCTGGCTTTCTGTTAGCGGTCGCTCCAGGGTCTAAGACTCATTCGCTCAGTCCTTTCTAGATTTTGTCTAATCAGCTACAAATCTACTTAACTGGAAACTGATTTCCCCTTTTCCCTGCTTGTCTCCCGTATGAGTGTTTGTTTTTTTTTTTTCCCGGTACCGGGGATCGAACTCACAATGTTGTGCTTGCCAGGCAGGCGCTGTGCCGCTGAGCTAAATCCCCAGCCCGTCTCCTGTGTGAGTTTGCCCAATGTTTTGCTGCAGTCAGACCATGCTGAGTTGATGCCATTCCCTGGCCAACGCCGTTAGCATTCCGAGTTGAGGAGCATGTGTTCTTGAGGGGACGCAGGCTGCTGATAACACAGGTCTTTCCCAAGTATTTACCAACTCTTCAGAGGTGGCTTGAACCCGTGTAGAAAGAGTGTTCGGCTGGCTGCAAGCCTGCAAGTCAGCACATTTCACAGGTGAAGAACTCAGACCCAGAAAGTTAGGTGAGCGTCCAGGACCAGACACCACATAGGGACCTGAGCTCTGGACACTTTACCTAGAATATTATGGCGTGTTCATGACACCTGGCTGTCAGCTCCTTTTCTGCAGGTCATGCATCATGACTATCAGAACGTCATTACATTAAAAAAAAAATATATATATATATACTTTTAGAAAGGGTCTTTTAAAAAGTATGTTTAGTGGAAAAGGACTGCTGATCCTGAGATGGGTGAGCAGAGTGTGCTGCAGTTTGAGGGAATGCCAGTAGGGGGCACCAAGGCCCCACTCATCTATTTAGTTGCAGGTGCTTTATAAAAATATTTTTTTTTCCCTGAGATTTGTCAACCATCATGATTTTGGACCATTATTTGGGCCATGACTTTTGTGTATGTTGCTTACTGCTGTATCCTCAGAACCTAGAACAGTGCACGATACGGAATAGTCGCTTAGTAGATACCTATTGAATTCATGTTTTCTTATTGTTACGATCTCTGTCGTACTTTTCTGGAGATTTAAAAATTCCAGGACAACAAAGATAATAACAAAGGTGATTTTTAATAGGTGCCCACAGCAGTGGGTCGATTTGAACTACTGGCTGAAACTCTTACTTTTTAAGCTTTATAGTTGAAAAGTTCTGATATTTGCAAAATCATTCAATCACTATCGACCCCCTTGGTGCTTTTCATCTTTGGTTAATTAATAAGTAGTGTTTGACTGCTTTTTCCAGCAAAGTGTGCCATAGTGGTTTTTTTTTTTTTTTTTTTTTTTTTTTTTTTGGTTTTTCTCCCGTACCGGGAACCGAACTCACGACCTTGTGCTTGCCAGGCAGGCGCTTTGCCGCTGAGCTAAATCCCCAGCCCCCATAGTGTTTTGTTCTGTATTTTTTTCTCTTGCTCTGAATGCTTAGTTAAATTTCTAATTTTCCCAATAGTTTCAAGTCAGGCTCTGAAGAGTTTCAGAGAAATTCACTGGTAGTGAGATCTGCCAAGTTTGGGCACAATTCTCTTGACCCGGCCAGGACGAAGTGGTCTTGTTGCTCCCTGCGTCTGCAGAGTTGCCTGGAGGGCAGTGTAAGGATTTGGGCTCACAGGCGTAGACGGCACGGAGGAGTAGGTTTTGCCACTTGAAGACTTCAGCCCATTTTGCTCCAATCTAATTTCTGAAGAGCTTCCTATGTTTCCACATACTTCACATTCTCAAAGACGGATCACTGGCCGTGTAAGAAGGCCGCGGCTTGTTCTTTGTGTGGCCTTTGGGGCTTGAGGAAAATTGAGCTGTGGTATCACGGGGAGCTGGCACCTCCCGAAATAGCATGGAGGGAGCCCGGTGGAGAGGAAGCAGTGCAATGCGTCACCGGAAATTTCCTACAAAATCCTTGTTGCGTGAAGGAATTGTGGGAGAGTAACCGGCACCCTCTGGCGGTATTACAGCCCCGAAGTTACTAGGTTTCACCCTCCCTTTTCTGCGACAGTGACAGAGACAGGAGTGGATGTCTGCCTCAGCCTCCACCGCAGACTATAAAGTATTCCATCAAATGTGCCAAGACTTTGTATCTTTGGGACTCTTTCCTCAAAGACGAATTTTGTTCGTTCTGAACCAGAGTGGTTTTGTGTCTGGCAGACAGTTTCGCATGCAGTGTTTCTGGAACAAAAGGATGGGAGCGCTGGGGACCGTAAGACAGGTCTTGGAGCTAAGATTTACCTAAAACACAGGCCATGTGCTGTGCCTCTTTTCTGGAATAATTTTTTGTCTGCTGTTAGTGTTCTGCGCTGGAACAAAAGCTGAAGAAGTTGACGGAGGACCTGAGCTGCCAGCGGCAAAACGCGGAAAGTGCCCGGTGTTCCCTGGAGCAGAGGGTCAAGGAGAAAGAAAAGGAGCTTCAGGAGGTACCGGGAGGGGGTGCGAGGGGCGGGTCCCCGGGCCCTGGTGGTTAGGAGGTTCTGCCTGTGTGGGAGGGCAGCTGTCCTTCATCATCTGGGAGGCTGTCGGTGCTGGTGTAGAGTGGATGCTTTTCCTGCCATAACCGGATGTGGGTCCGGGTCCCACTTTCGGTTTTTAACCTGAGCGAGGAAATCGTTACTCATGTTCACCTTCACCGTGTTCTCTGAGGTGCTGGAGGTTCCCTCCTGGAAAGGGAAGTTTCCATTTCTTCTCTCACACGCTGGGCTGCCTGCAGGGCGGTGATCATCCTTGACTGGGGCAACCAGGGAGGTGGCGGGCAGAGTCAGCGGGCACGATCGCAGGGATGCAGTCTGCATGGCCCTCAGCCTGTGTGTCCCATGAAAGCCTAGTCTCCACCCCGAGGGCCTGGGACCACCGGTGCCCTGTGTGGGGACCCAGGTTCGCTGGGTGGTGTTCGCTTCCCGCCCTCTCAGGCTGAAGACTCTTAGTAGAGGCAGGCGGGACTGCTCATTCGCACCACACCCTGCGTGCGTGTGGGTTCTCGGCCGGCAGGGACCTCGGCAGCCAGCTGTGATCCTGGACCACGCAGCGGCTGAGCATGAGATTGAGGAGGAGGCGGGCATGGGCCGGGTCCCCTCTGGGCAGCCACGGACTCCAGAGACGTCTGTGATTAGAGCCCAGCTCGGTGGTTGACGGCCCTGCGCCTCTGTCTCGCGTCCTTTGGACATGGCGCCGCCTGCTGGGTGCTGGCGTCCGGTCCCTGCTCTCCAGCCTGGGGTGACGTGTCTGCCCTTTGTTCTAGGAGCTCTCCCGGCAGCAGCGGGCCTTCCAGATGCTGGAGCAGGAGAGCACGCAGACGAAAGCCAGGCTGACCCAGGAGCTGCAGCAGGCCAGAAATGCGCTCTGCAGCTCGGAGGCCGAGCTGGACAGAGTAGGTGCCGATTGCTGGCTCCCCCGCAGGGTCCCTCCGGGTGCTCGCCCATGCTGCCCTCTCATAGTCCAAGGAGAGTTTTTTATAAAACCAAGGCATAAAACTGCCCCTATAATGGAGTATCATGTCACATTCCACACATGTATGCCTTGTGTAGTGTTTAAACCAAGTTAAACAGGGCCAGGTGGGGTGGTGCACACCTGTAATCCTACCACTCGGGAGGCTAAGGCAGGAGGACCACTGCAATTTCAAGACCAACCTTGATTACATAGCCAGGCCTTGCGGCTTTTTGAAATGAGCAGTGCGTGGTGTTATTGTAGCCATTTAGTGTGCAGTAGCTCCGGGAGCTCTCTGTCGCTCTGTAACTGTGACTGAGCTGCTGGCCAGCTACCTTTCCCCATCCCTCCCCCGAGCCTCTCTACCCGCAGTTTCTGTAAGGTCAACTTTTTAGGTCCCACATATAAGTCAGTGACCCCAGTAAGTGAAAAGTGTCTTCTTGCTTTCCTTCCTCCTCAGCGCAGAGAGCAACCCCAGGCCTTCTGGCTCTCAGTCCTCTCCTCCTCCGGAGAAGGGCAGGACGAGTTCCGAGGTCAGATCTGAAGGTCCCAGCAATCCAGTAGCTGCTGTTGGGAGTCTTGTGACTGGGGAGTGTCCCAAGTCGTTTATGCCCCAGAGAGTTAAAGCCCTGAAGATGATAATCAGTTTACCTGCGTAAGACTCACTCCACAGGCAATCTCCCTGCCCAGATTTATGGCTGTCCGTGTCACCTCTGTGATGCCGAGGCGCGCTCTGCGTCCCACCTGGGGGTCCCTCCTGAGCCGCAGACCCGGCCGTCACTGTCTCCTGCTTCCTGCAGTGATCTTAGCATTCCGGCCGCTTCTCAAACCCGTGCCTCCCCGGTCTCCTTCGTGTCTTAAACAGCAGTTCTGTTCTTCACATGGGCCAATTCCATCTCCAGTTCTGCTCTTTCTCCCATACTTCTGAGTAGTCCGCTAAAGCTGACGACTCTGCCTTTATTTGGTCATCACCCGTTTGTGTACGTATAAGCACACGCATTTGCATGTCAAGCACAGAGTGTGTTTAAACTGTTTTGTGCTAAAATATAACATTTATGTAGAGTGAACGTACAGCTCAGTAAATGACAGGTATAAGGCACGTTCTCTGGAAGTATTACCTACATCAGGAGCCAGGTCCCGGCCAGGACTCTACCCTCCCTCCACACGTCCCATCTCCCTGCTAAGAATGGCCCGACCTGTGTCTGTTTTCATGAGGCCTTTGGCCTGCACGCGACGCTGCACCCTGCCCAGACATGTCCTCTTGCCCCAGGGTGCTGTGCTGCCTCCTCCCTTTTTGTCCTGTGAATCAGATTGTGTGACCCACGTGCAGTCACTTTGGTCGGTGTTAAGTTGCATCCCGGCCCTCCTCTGTGCTGTCGCCATGCTGTCTTGTGTGTGGCCTCCTTGCCTTTGCCTGGTCATACCAAGCTCATGCCAACTTGGGCCCTTGCTTGCTGCACCGTCTCATGGGCTGCTCTTGCCTGGCAGATCCAGGGGCTTGGTCCTTTGCTACCTTCGAGGGTCCTGATGGTCCCCATCCCTGCCTGTGTCCCTCACCTCAAGTACTTGCTGTTTTCTTTAGCTTGCTTAACTTTTCTCCGTGGTGCATACAGCTGATAACCAGCGCGGTGTTAATTTTGACACTGTATCCTGTCCCTCCGATCTTTCCTTCCAAGAGCTCAGGGATGTTTAGCTCATCGTCTGTCTGCACCCTGTAAGGACTAAATATCTGCTGTTTTAAGATGGCAGAGCATTTGCGGGGCAGTGGTTCATTCTTGACTTGTCCCAAATCGTCCGGTGGCTTTTTTCCCCGAACCCAGCCTCTTTCATGTGTGAGCTCTCACCCAGCGAGGTCCCAGGCTCACATCCCAGGTTCCGATTTAGAGAGTTAGGGTGACATATACTAGGTCTCAGCCAAAGTGGCATCCATTCTTACATTGTTGAGCTTGCTGATTTAAGATAAATGATTATTTATAAAGTAAAGAACACAAACATGAAATGTTGCTCCTTGCCCTCCGTTGTAGGTCACAGCAGTAAAGCAACAGTTAGAAAAAAGTTTGGAAGAATTTAAGCAAAAGTTCGGCAGAATGGAACAGGCTTCCAAGGAGCAGCAGGCGGAGGAGGAGGCGCTGCGGAGGAGCAGCCAGGTGAGTGAGGGGCGGGGCAGTGGGCGGGGCAAGGGGAGGGGCGGGGCTTCCCCACTGTACAGGGCCCGGAGAATTTCTGTATGGTTTGTCAGCAGTTTATCATGGCCATAAAAAATTTTCTTTTTCATTTGCCAGAACTATTCCAAAGTGTTCTGTCAGATAACTTATGACAGAATATGTGCTTATTTTTTCACTTTGCATTCTGGTGGAATTACTCACACACACGGATCTGTTAAGGGAAAACACAACTTGTAGTAAGAACCACACACTCAAGGTTTTAAAGATCATTCTAGACCATGTAGGAGGTGAGAGGATGGAAGAAAGAAAGAAAGGGTTTTGGGGCTGGGGATTTAGCTCAGCGGCAAAGCGCCTGCCTGGCAAGCGCAAGGTTGTGAGTTCGGTTCCCGGTACCGGAGAAAAACCAAAAAAAAAAAAAAAAAGAAAGAAAGCGTTTTTCTGAATGGAAAAAAACAAAATTATTGATATGAAATAGTATTGAGATTGCTTTTATAGCTAGGCGTGGTGGTGCATGCTTGTAATTCCAGCACTTGGGAGGTCGAGGCAGGAGGATCTCTGCTGAGTTTGCAGCCACCGTGGACTACATAGTTAGTTCAAGGCCAGCCTGAACTGCATAGTGAGACCCTGTCTCAAAAAAAATTTGCTTTTCTAAGGGTTGGCTTTTGAGCTATTCAATATTAAAAACATGTAGAAAGTCATAGGTTTACACAAGCAAAAGTAATGGTAATGATGGATTTCTAGATTTGAAATTATACAAGCAAGTAATTGTGAGTTGTGTTCCTCTGGCTGCAGAAGTGAGCACTGACCTTAGTCTTTGGCGTGTGCAAGCACGGCTGCCATTGTGTTTTTCCCACATATTCTTTCAATTTTCAGTGGTCACTTTCTAGACAGTAAAGATGGAAGTAAACGTATCTAGCTGGGTGAGGAAACTCTCGGTGCTGTTAGTCTCCGGGGCTTGGCAGAGGGGGGCGCGGTGAAATCCAGCGCCTGCCACACCAAGGGGCGCCCACCAGGCCCTGCAGAGGGGACCCTGCTGGAGATGGGGGTGAGGGTGGTGGTCAGGGCTTGGACTCCTGGGACCCAAGGGGGAAATCCTCACATGCCGTGGTTTCGCTGACTGTTTTCAAATGGAATTGTCTGTTGTGGCAGAACAAATGTTTGCCTTTTGGCCAGCGGGGAAGGACGCAGCAGATGCGCCTGCTAACATTTCCACAGGCAGGCTGGCACGGAGCTCTTCCCTCCGAGGGCTGTCCTTTCAGCCAGCAGCAATCCTGGGACTCTGCGGGCTGCCTGCTGGAAGCACTTCGTTGGAGTGGTCATCCAGTTAAGAGAGTCTGGCACTTTCAGAGGTGCGCGCTGGGCCAAGTTGCTCTCTGTGGACTGCACGTTGCTTGCCGTGTCTCTGGGGATGCGTTCATCGCCAGGGGTCCAGCTTGTCCACTGCAGAGCTGCTTCCAGGACGCTCGGTCTGCCCCAGCTCATGCATACCCAGTTTCACCGGTAGCTCATCAACTTCGGTGTGAGAAGGAAAGAGATGTGAATGTGCATTGCTTTCCTTCCACCTGCCTGCTGTGTGACCCTGAGACAGTGGCTTACCCTTTCTGATCTGCCTACAGGGACAAACAATACCCTCACTTACTGAGGCTGAATTCATGATCAAATTCATTATCGCATATCAAGTGCGTGGCCCAATGCTGGGTGTTTTATTGCAGTCCACCTGCTCATGGCTTTGAGCTCGTGAGCTGTTGCGACCTTTTGATGTTAATATTGTTTTCTGTCGCCTCCCGCCACAGAAGGTCGTAAGCAGGGGACAGACAGTGCTTTGCGGGTTTTTCACACTTAAAAATGTGCCTCTGCCATCACACTGCCGCTCCGGGTGTCTCCCCTGCGTAACGATAAGTTAGGCACAGACACATTCAGCAGGCTTGTAGGATTTGGATGCTGAAATAGTGCGACAGTGGCCCGGAAATTTTCCTTGTCTGTGTTTAGTAAATGAATAGGCTGCTCCCAGTGAGAAATCATCAACGCTGGAAAATGCGAGTTAGTAGCCCAGGCAGGAGTCGCGTTAGCATTCAGACCTGAAGTGAGCGGAGGGTGTGGCTAAGCTGCTCAGCAGCATCCAGCGCCAGCCTGCGTGTGTCACGTTGGGGATTGGCAGCAAAATGCCACTGTTTGACAGGTGAGCTGAGGGAACACTCACATACGGACCTTCCCGGAGCACAGGGATCTGGACTGCAGTAGGTCCTCCGAGGAGCCAGGTATGCCAGGCAGAAGCGACGCGGAGGAAGGGAAGGGCACATCTTTTGCATCCATTGCTTTGCCACACGTGTAGCCTTCACGCTGGCTGGGGACGTATTGAGCTGTGCTCGTGGCTGGCCTGTGAAGCGGTTTGCGCTAACTGGCATTTGTGTTGTCTGGCCCTGGGAAATGATGCTTCCCTTGCTGCCCCTAAACCGAGGTCGATCCGGGTGGAACCGCGTGCTAAGCTCTCATGCTGGCTTGCCGTTCGAGGGGTTTTTGTTGTGTTTTTCCAGAGCTGTGCCTAACTTCACAAATCATGCGAGGGTGGAAGAGACACCCAGGAGGATACATGTTTGTATGGTTAACTCAGCGTTGGTAATGAGCCACCCAGTCAAGTCTCAAGTGGCTGTAGCCTCGTCAAAAGCTAATTGCTGATGGAGGCAGCATGCACACCCATTTTCAGATACTCATTTTCTAAATTCTGGCCTCTAAAAAATTTTGGGCCAATTGTAGCCAATAAGCCTGCTGGGTCCCAGGATTGAACGGATGTGTCTTTGTTGGAAACAAATATTTACAAAGCTCATGCCAGAACAGAAAAAGAGAAGCACTAATCTTCCCATCCGGCTTACTCTTCATTTTTAAATGTCTCCACTTACGGACAGAGATGGAGAGAGACCTGCAGATGTGTCAGTATCAATCCTTCTACCTTCCTGGTACCCTCTCTCCTTTTGCTCTTCTCCTTCCCATTGGAATTCTCCCAGTTTTGCGGCAGCGTCTCCCCATCGTTCCTGTCCAGCCCTCAGAGGTAGATGTCATTTGAATAGATTGTTTCAGGTGAGATTTTTTTTCCTGGCTTTTTGAGACAGGTTCTCGCTATGTAATTGAGACTGCCTTGAACTCACTATGTAGCCAAGGCTGGTCTCAAATTCACTGCGATCCTCCTGCCCCAGCCTCCCGAGTGCTGGGATGACAGGCATGTGCCACCACACCCAGTGTAGAGTGAGAATATTTTCTGAGTTGTAAGGATAAAAATGCTAAGTCTAGCCAGATAGCTGCATTCTAGTTACTCCTCCACCTTGGCCTCGTTCAGCATTGATCACGGTCTTGTGACTGTTAAGTTTGGGGAAGAAACACCAATAAAAATGCTCCTTACCTTTGTTGGGGTGCTTAGAGGTGTTCTAGCTTTCATACCTGTGATCTTATTGGATGGGTGATTATTCTGTGGCCAGGGAACAAACCAGGGATGATCTCTGCAGCAGACTGATGATGCTCACGGAAGCCTGTAGCGGCTTCACCTTCATCGTCGTTCTTTGCACGGTTTGATGTGGGCATTGGCCTCTTACCTCGGGCTGACTGATGTCTGAATTTGGCCCAGCACCGGTTTCGCAGTGGAAGGAAGGCAGGACGGGGACACGGGACAGGAGTCGCATACCGACAACAGGTTCTGTCTCATTTTAATGATGCCATGGATGTGTATCCACGAGCAGGGCGGCTGCCAGCAAGTTCCCAAGTCCTCCCTCCCGGCCAGCTTCTCTGTCTTTTGCACTTGGCTTTGCTGCCTCGGTCCCCATCTGCCCGCAGTGACCAGGCAGATGACTACGGGCAGCTCTCCAGCACAGCAGCGCCAGAGCCATCTGTTTCCTAATGGTGCAGTAGGGTTTTCGAGGACGGGTCTTAATTGTTGCTTTAAGATTCAAAAATAACCCCCTGCTTCTCAGAGGGGTATTTTCTGTGTTTTTGAAATGCAGTTTTAAAAACAGTAGCCGCATCATTTGTTTCCCTGTAAAGGATGTGTGAGTTTTGGTCCTGTCAGTTTGTGACGGTCTATGCTCGTGCCTTGGGTGCTGAGGGTGGTATATCGTGTGCTTTGAAATTAGCTATAACAATCATGAAAAGTTTAGCGGATGAGTAGAGTATGTGTCATGTTTATTATGTGAGTCTTACATGGTTAAGAAGCAGTTGTGTTTTTATGTGACATGTAAATATTGCTTGTTCTGAAGATTAGGGGGCTCCTGACATAATAGAATGGGGTTGCATGAATGCATCTCTGCCATTTTATTGCACATTGGTGTCTGGATATTTATTTCACCGAGTACCCAAGGAACCTGTTTTCACTGTGAAAGCTCGGACTCCCTCATCAGAATTAATTATTATGCTGTGCTCCAGTCTTTAATTTCTCATGGTACACTCCAATCTCTTCAGCATTGAGAGCGTGGTGTGTATGCAGTGCTTGGTTTGCGTCCTCTCTCTCTGGAGTGTACTTGTCCCGAGGCCAGAGATTCTGCCTTATTTATATTTGTATTCCTCAGAAGGTGCTTTCCAGGATTGTGAACATTGTAGATTTTCTTGATGAAAACATTTATGGAAGGTAATTTTACCCATAAGGACATTCCTGTAACAGTGAACCTGAAGATGGTTTTGCAAATAAAAGTGAAAATTTGTCATATGAATATTTTGATTTATTAACACATCTGCTCTTTGCAAAGATGTGTTTGATCAGTCAGGCATGCTAAGAACTTGGAGTGCTTTGTTTTTGGTTTTCTGAAACAAGGTCTCGTTATGTAGCCCAGGCTGGCCTTGAACCTACAGCAATCCCCTTGCCTAAGCCCCTCCAGAGTGGGGATTACAGGTGTGTGCCAGCATGCCCATGGGAATTTGGAGCTTTTATCTCGAGGATTTTGTAAATAGGCTTGTCCTTTTGAGCTAACTCTGTCAGAGGCAGGTACATAACCAGAAAATTCAAAGAAACACATTTCTTGAAGGACAAAGAATATTGTCTGATTTGGGTCTTGTGTTTGTTTTGCTTTTTTATTTGTGGCATTTGATCCAAGTAAGGCTGTCTTTCGTTGCTGAGTAAAAGAAAGGAGAAAGGTGATTCTTTGTGAGATACCCAGACATTTCTGCTAGGGACAGAGGTCAGAAGCTTCAGTATCTGTTTTGATTACAACCAGTGCATTTGTGTTTTAGGAAATGAAGAAGGAAAATGGCCTCCTTAGGAATCAGTCTGAACAAAGGGCCAGAGAAGTCAGCTACCTGGAGGAGGAGCTCCGGAAGGTCCGAGCGTGTTTGAGTCAGAGCCAGAACTTCGCGGAAGAAATGAGAGGCGAGTGGACTCAGACTCGTCCAGTTCTCAGCTGTGACCCCGTGAGGGAGGCAGCGGCCTTGCCGTAGTGGCGACACCTCTCGGGTTTTTCTGTATTTGCCTCGAAAAGATGCCTGCAGACATGTGGAGGAAACTTTCTGGCTTTCACTTTGTAGTTCCGATGTGATCGTTGAACTTCTTAAAATCTGGAACAACACACATTCCAAAATACCTGGTTTTTAAAATCGCCCTGAAACCAAAAAAATAATTAATTCCACACAAAACTGCCTCTCACCTTAGTGCTGTTCTTGGGGTCTCCAGTGGGTTAGGAGGTCCACACAAGCTTTCACTTACCACCACCTCCGTTACAGTGCAAAACCCGATACTCAGTGGCTGGCTTCCCAGCCCTTCATGCCCACTGTATTTTGACAACTTACTGGGCTGAACGATTTTATTTCCTAACTTTCAAGCCAAGGAGTCATGTGCTGCACATCAAATAAATCCACATTTGTTTCAAATTTCTTTTTCTCCTAGTCTTTCACAATGTTTTTTCTCACCTGGGCTAGGAATTTCTTTTAAACCTAGCCTTTGAATGTGCGTCACACTTCTCTATGATTATTTTAATTTTAATTTTTATATTATTTGAGATGGCGTCTTGTCATAATGCCCAGGTTAATCTCGAGGTCTTGGGCGGAAATCATCCTTTTGCCTCCAGCTCCCAAGTAGCTGGGATGAACCCTCCTTGAGGGAGCTTCCTTTCCATTTCCTGCAGCAGCAGGTAGAAATGTTCATCCTGAGGGAAAGCCGTCAGAGGGTGTAGTGACCGGGGTGTTTTCAGCGTTGGCCACTAACGTCGTTGTTTGAGGTCCTCCCAAGCAAGGCAGACAGAAGTGCTCGGGGCCTGTCCCAAAGCTGTCAACTCTCAGGTTTTGGTTTAAGATTAGAGGGTTAGAAATATGTGTGGCTTTTCATTCAGTATTGAACTTGAGATTGGAATACAGGCCACCTTTGTCACTTACCACTGAGGCCCTCAACTCTCCATCTCCCCCATATGCTGGGGTCGATTCTAACCAGTAAATGTGAATCTGAAGCCTTATTGTCACTGTTCAGTGAAACATTGTGGTTATTCCCAGCCAGAAAGGACTGTGGGTAAAGGCAAATCATTGGGTAGAAGGTAAGGTAGTCGTGGAAGTTTCCAGATGATTCTAATTCCCTCACCACCCTTACTGGGAGGGTGAGATTGCCCCTTGAGAATACTCCCGTATAGGCTGTGAGAGTTACTGATAGATAGCATCATGGAATTTTGTCTGAAATGGTAGAGTAGCTCTTTTAGTCGTCACAGACATCAAAATTGCCTCAGTCAACTGGTATATTTTCATTTTAGTACTATCTTGTTTTTTCTCTTAAAGTAAATGGAAAAAAAAAAAAAACCACAGATATATTAGGTTGTTTGGATTTTTTAGAGTTTATAGTTTTCTAATGGTGCGGTTGCAGTGCTGGGGATTGAACCCAGGGCCTTCTGCATGCTAGGCAAGTGCTCTACCACTGTGCTATTTTCCCCAGCACTAGAGTTTAGAAGTCTGGTAGAATACATATTTATTAAAGACATTGACAGTTTTTTTTGGGTCTTTTCTAAATAGCTAAGAATACCTCTCAGGAGACCATGCTAAGAGAGCTTCAAGAAAAAATAAATCAGCAAGAAAACTCCTTGACTTTAGAGAAACTGAAGCTCACCTTGGCTGATCTGGAAAAGCAGCGAGATTGTTCCCAAGACCTTTTGAAGAAGAGGGAACATCACATCGAGCAGCTGAACGAGAAGTTAAGCAAGATAGAGAAAGAGTCCAAAGCTTTACTGGGTGCCTTGGAGCTAACGAAGAAAGAATACGAGGAACTGAGCGAGGAGAAGACTCAGTTTTCTCGTTGGAAAAGTGAACATGAAAAGCTTGTGCAACAGATGGAATCAGAAAAGGAGAGCTTGCAGAGTAAAATCAGTCACTTGGAAACATGCCTCAAGACACAACAAATGAAAAGCCATGAGTATAATGAGAGAGTCAGGACGCTGGAGATGGAAAGAGACAACCTCAGCGTAGAGATGAGGGACCTGCGCAACACGGTCGACGGCAAGACACGGGAGGTGGAGACACAGAAGCAGGCCTACGGAGAGCTGCAGCAGAAAGCCGAGCTCTCAGATCAGAAGCATAAGAAGGAAATAGAAAATCTGAGCCTCAAGACTTCTCAACTTACTGGGCAAGTGGAAGACCTGGAACAGAAGCTTCAGTTGCTGTCTAGTGAACTAGTGGAAAAGGACCAGCATTACCAAGACTTGCAGGCTGAATATGAGAGCGTCAGAGATCTGCTTCAATCCCGAGACTGTTCTCTACCACAGAAGGACCATCAGAGCACTTGTCTGGCTTTTGAACAGCAGTCTGCGATGAATACTTCCTTTGTAAATGCAATGGGAGAAGAAGGACGCAATTCTTCAGAGAGGAGCCAGTGTCTTTTAGATGCAGACCAAAGTCCAAAAAGTTCAGCCGTCCTACAAAATACAGTTGTTTCTCTCCAGTTTTCCTTAGAGTCACAAAAGCAGATGAACTCCGATCTGCAGAAGCAGTGTGAAGAGTTGGTGCACATCAAAGGGGAAATAGAAGAAAATCTCATTAAAGCAGAACAGATGCATGAAAGCTTTGTGGCCGAGACAAGTCAGCGCATCTGCAAGCTACAGGAAGACACTTCGGTTCATCAGAATGTTGTTGCAGAAACTTTAGTTGCCCTTGAGCTCAAGGAAAAAGAGTTGGAACTTTGGAAGGCAAAATTAGAAGCTGAGCAAGCAGAGATTCAAGAATTAAAAAAGAGCAGCCAGCTCCTAGAAGACGCTCTAAAGGAGCAGCAGCTTTTGTCTGAAACCCTGAGCTCGGAGAAGAGGGAGATGAATTCCATCATTTCTCTAAGTAAAAAAGAAATTGAAGAGCTGGCCCGAGAGAACGGGACTCTCAAAGAGGTGAATGAAATCTTAAACCAAGAGAAAATAAACTTGCTCCAGAAAAATGAGGAATTTTCAAACCGTATAGAGGAACGAGAGCAAAGTATTTCACAGCTATCTGATCAGTACAAGCAAGAAAGACTCGTTTGGCTACAGAGGTGTGAGGAGACCGGAAGTGCGTTTGAGGATCTCAGCGAAAAATACAAAGCAGCACAAGAAGAGAACTCGCGGTTAGAATGCTTGCTAAATGAATGCACCGGTATTGGTGAAAGTAGGAAAAATGAATTGGAGCAGCTAAAGGAAACGTTTGCAAAAGAGCATCAAGAATTCTTAACAAAATTAGCTTTTGCTGAAGAACAAAACCAGAAGCTAATACTAGAGTTTGGGGCAGCGCAGCAAGCTTTGAAGTCTGAGATGAGGGACCTCCACACCAGTTCCAAGAGCGAGGCTGATGCCTTAAAGCAAGAAATCATGACTTTAAAAGAAGAACAGAATAAGATGCAGAAGGAAGTTAACGACTTATTGCAAGAGAACGAGCAACTGGTAAAGTTAACTAAGACTAGACAGGAGGGTCAGCATCTCGAGCTGGAACCAGTGAGGGACTGTGTGAAAGAAAGAGAAGATGAGATCAGCACATGCACTTTCCAGCTTCAGATGGATCTTGGAGCCGGAGACATTGCCCCAAATAATTACAGTGCCCGGCTGGCCCAGTTAGAAGCTTTGATAAGAAATACAGAATTAAAACTTCAGGAAAGTGAGAAGGAGAAAGAGCACCTGCAGCAGGAATTGAGGACACTTAGAGGAGACTTAGGAGCTGGAAACGTGCAAGAGTGTTTGTCACAGGAAATGAGGGACCTCACGGACCGTGAAGTGGATGCGGAAGGAAAGTACAGCTCAGTGCTTCGTGAGCCATCCCCAAGGCAGGCTGACAGTGCACCCTTGCAGTGTTCTCTCCAGGCAGCCTGGAGCAAGCTGGGCGAGCTGGAGAAGATGTGTGAGATGCTGCAGGTAGAAAAGCTGCAGCTGCTGTCGGAACTGAACAACTCAAGGTCAGAATGCATCACAGCAACCAGTAGAATGGCAGAAGAGGTAGAGAAGCTAGTGAATGAAATGAAAATATTAAACGATGAAAACAGCCTTCTCCGAGGTGAGTCTGTGGAAGAAATGCCGGCCAGTGAATTTGATGGGCAACAAAACGAGCAGACGCCTGTGTCCTTGAACCCTTTGGATGATAGCAGTTCCTATGAACAGTTGACCTTGTCAAGCAAAGAGGTTCAAACGCACTTTGCTGAACTGCAGGAGAAATTCTCATCTTTACAAAGTGAGCATAAGATTTTACACGATCAACATTGTCAGATGAGCTCCAAGATGTTGGAGCTGCAGTCCTACGTTGACACACTGAGGGCTGAAAATTCAGCCTTGTCGATGAATCTGAGAAACCTGCACGGTGATTTAGAGAAGGAGATGAAGCCAGAGGGACCCGTTCTGTCCCTGTCCTTCTCCTGTGTGAGAAGCCCTGGTGTGACAAGTTTAGGAGAGACTTCTTTTTACCAAGATGTTTTAGAACAGACTGGAGACACATCTCTTTTGAATAATTTAGGGGAGAGTGTTTCAGCAAACGCCAGCCTGGAGCAGGAGGAGGCTCTGTCTGCAAAAGAAGGCCCAGCTACCCCAGAGAAGTGTGTTGAAGAGCTTGAGACCCTCTGCCAGGGGTACCTGCAGTCCCTCAAGAATCTGGAAGAGAAAATGGAAAGTCAAGCGATGATGAAAGACAAGGAAATTCAAGAGCTGGAGCAGTTACTAAGTTCTGAGAGGACAGAGCTGGACTGCCTTAGGAAGCAGTACTTGTCCCAAAATGAAGAGTGGCAGCGGAAGCTGACAAGCGTGACTCTGGAGATGGAGTCCAAGCTGGCGGCAGAGAAGCAGCAGACGGAGCACCTGGCCCTCGAGCTGGAGGTGGCGAGGCTGCAGCTGCAAGGCCTGGAGCTGAGCTCTCGGTCTTTGCTTGGAGCCGACATAGAAAATGTAAGAACCTGGGTTCACGCGCTTTTTTTTTGGTTTGGGTGACCAGCTGGCCCTCCAGATGTTTGCTGCGTTGACATCAACCTACAGTCCTAGTTAGAATGTTTTCAGGGTTCAAGGAAATACATAAATATATGAAAAGTTTTTCTTTTCAAAACCAACCAGAACTGTAGAAACACGAGGGAACTTTATTTGAGGACTACATTTTTATAGTGATTAGATTTAAGCACTAGTTTGTGGGAAACTCCTTAAGTCTGGAGAAAAGGCAATCACAGAGTCAGCAGGTCTTTAGAGTGCGTGTGCTTGCCCTGTGGGTTAATAAGACATATTAAGGGTTTCTGAGTGGTAATGTGACAGATTTTTAACCACAGGCCTTTTTCAGACTATTTTTTAATGTTAAAAGCATTACAGTCACAAAACTAAATACTCACCAAACTATTTTACATGTTACTTAATTTTTCCTAATGATCTGCTGTGGTACCAATGGGTGACTTGGTATCAGTCATTTAAACAGGCCTTTGTTTCTTTCTAGAATATATTCTTGTTTCATTACTTACAACTTTGTCCTTCTGATTGGCCAGCTTTCCTAATAACAGCATACAGTGTATGGGTCTCACTGTCCACCTCTGGGAGGTGGAATCAGACCACGGGGGTGGGGTGGGGGACAGGAATAGTCACTATAGCAGCCTTCGTTTTATAGATGAGAGGGAAACGAGAAGCCTACATGCAGTTTATCCAAGGATGTGCAGAGTAGGTGCTGGACAGACAGGGCTTGAAGCCCTTGGGTGGGGTATCTGCTCATGAACCTTCACTGCCGTCTCTTATTAAGAATATCACAAATACTGAGGATGAAAGCTGGACATTTCGCGTGGGATTTGCTAGTTCTATATTTGATAATCACAAAAGGACATGTAATATTTATAGTGTGTAGAATATTCCTAGCAGGGGAGGAAAGGTGAAATTTCAATGTGTTAAAATTTGAACCAAGAATGAAAGTGTTCCATCTTCCTGATAAATACCTTGCCCAGGACCTTGCATAGAGGCGGATCTACTGCATGTGTGCCTGCGTTGAGTCACAACTGGGACAGAGAGAAGGATGGCGGTTGTGGTGAGGATGTGCCATCTGGGAACGTGCTTAGCAGAGGCTGGACACCATTTCCTATAAAGTAATAATTAGGCCCTTTGTTCTTCTTGAAAAATAACATGCATTCCTGTTCTATGTTATGATTACAGGCTATTCAGGATCAAAATGATAGCTGCGACTTCAAAGAATCAGAAGAAAATACTTCAGAAATTACAGCACAAACACCAGCGCAGGACAGTCACCAGATCTGTGAAGAGGTTGTCCGGAGGGACCTCAGAGTAGAGATGGAGGGAACCACTGACACCCCACTACAAGGAGCTGAGGAGACACCCTCAGAGACCAGTGATGAGACGGCAGCAAGAGACGAAAGCCAGGGCCGTCCTGAACAGACTTCCGATCTGTCATCCTGTGGCCCTCACGCTTTAGCACCTATGGAGTTCGTGGAGAATCAGGTATCCATCCAGTGTCTCCAGCTGCAGGTCAGAGAGACATCAGATGAGAACCTGAGATTACTTCACGCCATAGAGGACCGGGACAGAAAAGTGGAAAGTTTGCTAAATGAAATAAAAGACTTAGATTCAAAACTTGATTTACAGGAACTACAGCTAAAGACCAAGATCGAACTGTGCCTACAATTGGAAAAAATAGTCGAGGAACTCCAGAAAGAAAAACGTGACTTAAGTGAAAAATTAGAATCCTTCTCCTGTGCTAGCCAGGAATTATGCCCGAGAGTAAAAACTTGTCAAACCCTCAGTTCTAATTTAGAAATGGGCACTGATGAGTCCTCACAGGAAGTTCCTGAAGAGAACGTTGCCAAGGTGGATGACAGCTGGAAGGAGCGATTTCTCCAGGTGGAAAATGAGCTGAACAGGATCAAGGCTGACAACGCCAGACTCGAACATCGTGCCCTGACCGTGGAAGCCGACTTAGAGGTGGCTCACACCGAGAAGCTGTGCTTGGAAAAAGATAATGAAAATAACCAGAAGGTTATTGTCCGCCTTGAAGAAGAACTCTCAGTGGCCGCAAACGAGAGAAACCAGCTTCATGAAGAATTAGACACTGTGACAAAAGAAAACAAAACCCTGGCTCAGATGTCTGAGGTGATGAAGGAGAAAGTCCAGGTGCTGGAGGCTGAGGTTAGGGACAAAGCAGCTGTCCTTCAGACTCTTTCCTTGCAGGTGAGCGAGCTGTCAGAAGGCAAAGGTGCTTTGCAGGAGCAGCTGCAGAGGTTGGAAGGGGACCGCCAGGCACTGTCCTCCGCGGCGCAGGACCTGGAAAGCCAACTCAGACGCCTGGAGGAGGAGAAAGAGTCGCTGGGCAGGGAGTCTGAGAGGCTTCAGGCCAAGCTGAACGAGTGGGAACAGGAAAGGCTGGCTGAGTCCAGGGCCCTGGAGACGGCACGGATGGAGAGGAATGAGATTGCGCAGCGACTCCGCTCCACCCAGGAGGAGGTCCACCAGCTGCGGAGGGGCATGGAGACACTGCGCATGCGCATTGAGGCCGACGAGAAGAAGCAACTGGACGTCCTGGAGAAGCTGAGAGGAAGTCAGCGGGAGAGCGATGCGCTCCGGGACAAGGTGGAGGGTCTCCAGCGGGAGCTGCAGATGTCTGAGGAGAACCAAGAGCTGGTGATCCTGGACGCTGAGAACGCCAAAGCCGAGGTGGAGACCCTAAGAGCGCAGGTGGAGGAGATGGGTGAAAGCCTGAGGGGTTCCCAGGGGGACCTCGCCAGGCTGCAGTCAGAGAAGGGCGAGCTGACAAAGCAGCTGCAGGAGAAACAGGCTCAGGTGTCAGAATCAGAGGTGCTGCTCTCTTCACTTCGCAGTCTGGTAGAAGAGAAGGAGCGAGCGAGAGTACAGATGCAAGGAGACTCTCAAACCGCGGCGGCGAAGATCCAGGCGCAACTGAGAGAGCTGGCAGAGGAGGCGGCAGCCTTGTGTGATGACCAAGGGGCCCTGGAGGAGGCCGGGGAACAGAGCCTGGACGCCCCAGGCAATGCAGTGCCTCGGCTGAGGGCCAGCATCGGGAGGCTGCGAGCCCGCGTAGAAGCTGACCGCAAGACGCAGCTTCGTGTCCAGGAGCAACTGACGGAAAGCCAGTGTCATGCGGCTGTGCTGAAAGGTAGAGCTGAGAGTCTTGAAAGGGAGCTGGAGCTGTTGGGGAGAAGCCAGGAGCAGGCCAATCGAGAGGCGGAGAATTCCAAAGCCCAGGTGGAGACCCTCAAAGAAGAGGTCCAGGAGCTATCCCAAAACCTGAGAGGCTTGGAAGCCGCTCTTGTTAATGCACAGTCAGAAAAAGCAAATCTGACCAAAGGACTGCAAGCAGAGCAAGCGCGCGTGTCTGAATTAGAAATATTAAACTCATCGTTGGAAAACCTGTTGCAAGAAAAAGAGAACCAGAAAGTGCAGATACAAGAGGAATCTGAAATTGCGGTGGAGACGCTTCAAGCGCAGCTAAAATTGCTGAATGAGAAGATGGTAGCCTTGTGCGACGACCAGGAAGCCTGCAAGGCCAAGGAGCGGGGTCTGAGCAATCAAGTGGATTCTCTTGAACTGGAGAAGGCTCAGCTGCTCCAGGACCTCGAGGAAGCCAAACACAATTATGTCATTTTGCAGTCTTCGGTGACTGGCCTCATGCAGGATGCGCAGGACGGCAAGCAGCAGCTGGAGAAGAAGGAGGAGGAACTCATTCGGCTGAAAGGTCAAGTTCAAGACCAGGAGCAGCTCGCGGCTAAACTGTCCCAGGTGGAGGGAGAGCGGCAGCTCTTGCAGGAGCAGAAAGCGGAACTGGGGACGCTGGCAGTGGAGTTGGAGCAGAAGGTCCAAGAGCTGCAGTCCAAAAACCACGCCTTGCAGGAGACCTTCGAAGCCTTGCAGAACTCTTGCAAGGAGCTAGAGAATGAGCTCACGCTGACAAAAATGGAGAAAATGTCCTTGGTTGAAAAAGTGAGTGGCCTTTTATCTGTTTACGTTTAAATATGTAGTTATGAGTGGGGCGGGGGCGGGAGGGGGGGGAGGAATGCCTTGTCAATTAACATTTCTCCAAAAAGGATGCCTGTCCAACTGGACCGAGCTCTGTGAAGTCCTTGGGCTTGTGGGGCTGCTGAGTCATCTCCGGTAGTAGTGAGTGCTCTGACGCATGCAGAGGGGGCGTTTTCATGACTTGGCTTGGGTTTTTAATGTGGCACTTCCATCCGGGGGAAGCTTGGCGCCCTGCATAGCTCCTGACTCTTCTAGCTCCCTTATTTTGGAGTAGCCTTCCCACACCCAGTTCTAACGACTGTTAGACTGTAGTGATACTACTTAGGATTGGGGGGATCCCCTGCCTCCCCCTTTTTTACTTTTTAGAGAAATCACTTTTAAAGATACTGATACTGTTGTGACCAGCAGCACACATGGTTCCTGCGGAGTGTCTGGGGCCTCGTGCCCGGAGCCCCTTCTTTAATGCTGTGGCTTTTTTCACTCGGCTCTTTGGTTTGCTGATGACCGCAGGGGAGATCTGCCTTCAAGAGGCTCAATCCATCCAAAGTATTTACTGACTGATCTGGGAAAGTGATTCCTTCTTATTAAATCTTTACTGAACAAATAATAAAAGAGTATCCAGAAAGTATAGTTCACCCTAACTCTGTAATTTCCAAGAATTTCAAGTTTTTGTGCACCTTGCAAGAGTTGACAGTTAACAGAGGCGATGAGATAAACTGTACCAGGTGGTTTCAGCTGCAAGGGGCAAATGTGAGCAACCGAACCTTCTCCGGTTTGCACTAAGTGTAGCCCTGCTCCCGGGGGTTGAGACCCAGGAACTAGTAAAAATCTAAAGCACTGCCTCAAATTATTCTCTGGTGCTCATTTCAAATTAATACCTTTGTGAGGGAGTTTACAACTTAGTAATGTTACTGGCCTTTTTATTGTTTATTCTTATTGCTGTCCTTCATTAATCTTTGCTGAGAAGAGAAGGCAAGCTTACCGATAGGTTTTGAGGATACTGGTCAAGTGGACTGGTCAAGGGCGGATTTGCCAGGGTCTGTTTTGTTACTGGAGGCCAAAGTCAATGCCAGGGAAGGTTGGATCAGAGTAGTTAATGAGAGCAAAACAGATCCCCAAAGTAGATGATAATGAATTTTATATTACAGGTAAACACCATGATTGCGAAGGAGGCTGAGCTGCAGGGGGAAATGCAAGACATGGTACAGAAAACAACGGAGCTGAAAGAAGAACTGAGTGGAGAGAAAAACAGGCTCACTGAAGAGTTAAATGTGCTGTTGGAAGAAGTAAAAAGCAGCAAAGTAGGTGTCTCTCGTAATTCCTTTCGGGCTGCTAATTCAGTGCGCGCTCCTGGGTGGCTCTTGTAAGACCTTCTGGAAGGCACTGAACTGTTTTCAGCTTTGGAACAGAAGTAACCTTGGGCTGTGTCATGTTCAGACTTGCCGTGCTCGCCGCCATTTAGCGCCGTCATGAGCGTACGAGCCATGGGGCGTGACCTTGGGAGCCACGGTGGACGCCTGTGATGCTGAGGATGGAGGGCACTCCAGGAGGTGTGGGAAACTGAGTGTGTGGGGGTCTGTGCCCCTTGAGATGTTAGATGTACAATATATGGCTCTTTATTTCCTAGTTGCTTTTCCTTAAGCCTTATAAAAGGAGATTCACGGTTTTAAGCGGAATTACTTGGTTTGTAGGCAGACCACCTGAAACATGTAGATCAGCTGAAGAAGGGCAACGAACGTGCTCATGGGAAAATAAAGTTGTTGCTCAAATCCTGCAAACAGTTAGAGGAGGAGAAGAAAATGCTGCAGAATGAGCTGTCTCAACTCGAAGCGGCCCAGAAGCAACAAGCAGGTGGGTGCTGCAGAGGGCAGGATTGCTACCTCAGACCGCGTCCCGGGAGTGCAAGGGCGCGCTTAGGTGTGCATGCAGAGGAGCTGACTTAGAGCTCTGTTGTGAGTCTGTTTTCAGCACCTGTTCATTTTCCAGTTTCTGGATGTGGGCCTTTGCTTGGGGTCATTGTAGGATTTTTGAAGTTGAGTTGTTTCAGCTTCTCTTCTTCAAAACTTGCAAAAACAAAACTCTGGTGCTACTTTTTTTTTTTTTGATTTTTTTTTTTTGAGTCAGGGACTAGCTGTGTAGTTCAGGTCGGCCTTGAACTCACAGCAGTCCACCTGTCTCAGCCTCCTGAGTGCTACCATACCTGGCAGGTGCTACCTTTTGCCTGTGAGTCTCTAAGAAGAGTTTTCATTCATGTCCATTGAGGTCTCTTCATTAAAGGTAGATTGGCATCTGCATGCATATTGCTAACTTGTGAGTAACCAGTTCTGACCGGTCCTGGTCCAGCATCGTGGGTCAACTAAGAGGAAGGTGTGGGGAACTAAATTTTGGGGTCTGTAAGCAAAATTAAAAGAACCAAGAGATACCTCTCCTTGTCACTTTTCCCCTCACACTCCCAGAGGGACACGCTCCGCTCCCGTGGTTGGGACGGCATGAGTGGCTGCCATGCACCGTAGCTTGGCGGGGCAGTCAGCTGCGTCTGTTTTGGGGAGCGCTTGGAGTAAGTTGGGATTTCGGGGACTGTTTTCCAATGATTTAAAGCCACCCATGGCAGAAAAAACTAAAGCTTTATGTTGTTTCCCCAAACTCCTGTATGCCGGGACTGCAGCGCCTGCAGGCGGTTTAAGGGCCTTTGTGGACTTGCCCCGCCACTGGGTCCCTTCTGTCCCACAGCCAGACCACGGATGTCGTAGTCTTGCCTGACTTCTGCTGTTCATTCACTTATTGTGGAAAGAATGGATGGGAGAAAAGAAGGTACAAACGCTTAATCCTTTTGATCTCCTGTAACTACTTCCCGGAGGAAGTTGAACAGCTTGATTGAAAAAGGAGGTAGAGACGTGGGTGGACTTTATGTAAGCTATTTCAGTAAGCGCTGTAATCTACCGGAATCTGTACCTGGATATCATACATCCCAAAGGAGAGTGCTTGAACTCTAAGAACACAAATAGGTAATTCTCCCTAGCCCCTCCAGCAATGTGCAGAGAATAGGTATGAGATGGGCCCTGCCCAAGGCCAGGAGCGGCATCAAATTGCATGTGACATGTTACTCCCTTTGGGACAGGTGCTGCTATGGATGCTAATGTGGATGAGCTAATGACGGAGATCAGAGAGCTGAAAGAAACACTTGAAGAAAAAGCCAAGGAGGCCGATGAGTACCTGGATAAGTACTGTTCGCTGCTGATAAGCCATGAAAAGTTAGAGAAAGCGAAGGAGATGCTGGAAACACAGGTCGCTCGCCTGAGTTCGCAGCAACCTAAGCGTGGTCTGAGCGGGTCTCCGCACGGTGCCCTGCCAAGTTCAGGCACACCAGGGCCATCTCCAGCCCCGTCGGTCAGCGAAAGGAAGTCGTCATCTGGCCGAAGTAAGGCTTCGGGCAAGAGGCAGAGGTCCAGTGGGATTTGTGGGAATGGAGGAGGACTGACGCCTTCCACTCCCGAGACCTTTCCTAAAAAAAGTCGGAAAGTGGTCAGAAGTGGTGGCCTCCACCCTGCCGAGGATGAAGAAGAGTTTGAGCCAGAAGGACTTCCTGAAATTGTAAAGAAAGGTATGTGTAATTTAAAACCAGTACCCCAATAAGGGAGTGCAGCTTGGTGGTAGGGTATGTCTCTAGCATGGGGGGCCCTGGGTTTTATCCCCAGCTCCGCAAAGCAAAGCAAAAGCCCCTGAAAATCACGTGTGTGTGTGTGTGTGTGTGTGTGTGTTTTAATTTTGTATAATAATTCACATATAAAAAATAGGAACACTGACTTTTTAGAGCTTTGGAGTATTCTGCAACAATTCCAGCTGGCCGTCAGTAACTGTAGTTCATGAAAAAATGACTAGGATTAATTCCTCATGGGGGCTGGGGATTTAGCTCAGCGGTGCAGTGCCTGCTTGGCAAGCATGAGGTTGTGAGTTCGATTCCCGGTACCGAAAAAAAACCAAAAAGGAAAAAAAAGTCTATTATTTAAAAAAAAAAAAAAATTCCTCATGACCCACTACAGAAAAGAGTTGGGGAAGTTGAGAATGACTCTGAGAAGCCTGTTTAGAATTTGGTATATCTTCAGGGAACCCCTTCAAGATTTCCTTCCTTGTCTCTGTCCAGAGGGCAGGTGAGGAGGATGCCAGCCCTGTGACTGGTGCACTGAACATACTTTTTTTTTTTAACTCAGTGCTCTCCTAGGTGTGGTCAAGGGATTCAGGTCCAGCCAAAGAACCACCTGTTACTGATGATGGTACATGATCAAAAAGTGTTCAGAAATTTCGAGGAAGAGATTAGAAATTCTCATAACAGTCCATAGGGCTGCAGTATCTGAGCACGTAGGTGTTTTTTCCTTGGGGTCAGTCTCTTTCTGTTATGCAAACACGATTGCTCAGCATATTGGAAATGCCCCTCCCACAAGCAAAACTCATTCTTTGCTGTAGATGGGCTGGAAAAACAGTCCCGAAAAACTGTAGCGAAGAGTTAGCTCTCTCCTTCTGATGGGTGATTTTTCTTTGTAAAGGCTTAAAGATAGCCACTGCCTCAGTTAGCCCTGCGTTCCTCCAGGGAGTGCGATGGGTTTGGCGGCCGCTTCTCCGTGCTGTTAGTGTCAGCTCTTTCTCTGGAAGAAGCTGACACAAGCCAGAGTGTGGTCACGCTCAGGATGGCCAGGCTGCCCCTACCTCATCCTGCGGCGGAGCGGCTGCCTGAAGACTCCGTTCCTGTTTTACCTTTCCTCCCTTTACCTAACAGCTGGCCTTGTGGAGTTTTCTTCTCCATGTTGCCCTCTTTTTTTTTTCCCCTCCAATCCAAATTCTACAATAAGCGCTGCTGGTGTTCTTTGGATTTTAGAATAATGCATGCTAGAACCTCCTTATAGGAGAGGCAGGGAACATTTTTTTGGTGCGTAATGTTACCTTTCCCCTTTTCCTATGTGTTTTTTTGTTTCTAGGAAGAGAAAACGTGGTAGTAATTCACTCAGTGGGTGACCTCCAGGGAAACTGAAGTGTAATGCCTGGTCCCAGGCCTGGGGGAAAGTACTTTTGGAGTTACCTTTGTCTGTGCTAAGACCTTACCTAATGAAATGACGTGGCCACTTGTGTGTGGAACTGGACCCACAGCCTTGACAGCCAGTGTCTTTGTCCATAGGGTTTGCTGACATCCCGACCGGGAAGGCCAGCCCCTATGTCCTGCGGAGGACCACCCTGGCCACCAGGACCAGCCCCCGCCTTGCTGCGCAGAAGTCAGCCCTGTCCCCCCAGAGTGTGGGCAAAGAAAATCTTGCAGAGTCCCCTAAACCAGCAGCTGGTGGCAGCAGATCACAAAAGGTAAACTCCAGCGATTACCGGGCTTGCATCTGTGACCCAGGAAGTCGCAGCGGTGGCCAGGCCCTGGTCCCATGCTGTGTCCTCCCACTCAGCAGCCCTCCAGGTCCGACCTTCTTCCTGACGTGGTGTAGGTGGGTCACAGGGAGGAGCGTTCCAGGGTCCCGCGGCAGGAGCTCGGCCCTGCCCTGACAGGCCACCTCACGGCTGTGGCAGGGCAGAGGGACGGTATGGGGGTTTCACGCCGACTTGTGGGATTCCAGGGGTAGTTTCCCCTGTGCCCTTGGGTATTTTTTTCAAACTTTCCATTCTCATCTGTACCAAGCTGCTGAGTTTTCATGGCTTTTAGTCATCCTTTGCTTTCTGGAGAAAGCACTGTTTCGGTAGATAGCTAAAGAGAGAGCTGTGTTCCTGGATTTCTCTGTTGAGATTTTTGAGGATAGGGTACGTGGCCTCTGTGTACTTCAGAGACGACTTAGAAAATGCTATGTAACGCAGAAAGAGTATTGGCTAACAACTTTCTTCCTAAAGAAAGATAAGGTTAATACTATACGATAAATACTGTAAGTCAGATACTATAAGAAAGGTAAATACTATAAGCCGACCGGCAGCTGCCATTTATGTATGCAGAAGTTGGAAAGGGCCAGGCCTAAGGTCCTGGGGTAGATGTGTCATTTCCTAGATGAGCAGCTAGGAGCCATCCTCACCCCTTGGTGGAAAATAGCATCCGTTCCTGCTGCTCTGCCACATGCATTTTATTCAACTCTCCCATTTTATTCTCTCACTTACTGTGCTCTCTCAGTCAGCGGTTGTCTTAGTCACTTTTCGAATTGCTGGGGCAAATACCTGACACCCGCGATGTGAGGAAGGAGAGGCTTATTTTGGCTCACGTCTCAGTCCACAATTGGCTGGCTCCAGGGCAGGACGGCCTGATCCAGGGTCCTGGCGGAGGAGGGCAGCTCAGAGTATGACAACCAGGAGGTGGCGAGCGAAGGGAGGCACCAGGGAGGGAGGTGAACCTTTCCAGGTTACAGGAGCAGTGACCCACCTCTTCTAACCAGACCCTGCGCGTTGTCTTACCACCCCCGGAATGCAGTTTAGAGTCCTTCCCTCTGAGCCCGTGAAGGTTTGTGGGACATTTTAGATGGAAGCTGCAGTAGTGATTATTACAGAAGAATGAAGACAGTGAGACTCACGAAGCTGTGACCTCCAGGTTCGTACCTCCTCTTCCTCGGCCTCACAGTCCTGCTCTTGCCACCACGCCAGAGCTTCTCAAACTGGGGGCCGTGGGAATGGTGGTGGAAGTCGCTACACCAGCTTCAGGAAGTTTTACAATTTCGTGATGTTACTTTGCTCACATGCCAGAGTTTTAAGCGACCTGATAACTTGGAACTAGCATAAAAGAAAAAAAAAGCTCTGAAAGTACAGTAACTCCTTTCTTACATGTAACAGTTCTCACTTGAGCAAGCTTGGCCCTCCTCAGAATTCCTACGAGATCAGGCACATTCAGGGTGGCATGGCCGTAGACTCCTCAGAACTCTGGGTGCCAGCGTGCAGATTGTTGGTGATTAGTTGCATCAAAACAAACACATTTGCATATTGGCTTGTTTTGCTGATGTGGAAGAGTGATATACGAGCTATACCTACTGATGCGTTTGTCAGCAATTTATATTATGAGGAAATTAATTCAGGGATGAGAAAAGTCAGAGTTCCTTTCAGCCTTTGAAGTGGGGTCCCATTCACCTGTGTTAGAAAGAGTGTACCATTTTGTGTACATTTCTCTCCCCTCCCCTCAAATGTTCATTCTTTGTCCCTCTACATCTCCTTTTCACCTTCGGATTTAACTTTTGGTTCCTGCCAACAGTACGGTACTGAAGAATATAGTGGAGTGGGTCCTCACTTTCCCGTGACCGGAAGCAGAAGCTTTGTGAAGCAGCCGGCGCTCCTAAAGGCTGAAGCTGTGGAGCCTCACCACAGCCTTAGCCACACGACGCTGCTGAGCTGCTTTGCACGGGTCAGGCTTGGGCTCCTGGCGTAGATCGGGTCACCTCCCACACGGGTGGCCGGGAGCTCCCCTCAGCCCTCTGTCAAAGGTGATGTCCGTTCCTGTTGGTCTGATACTTGTAGAGCAAAGGAAGTTTCCACAGCTCCCTTAAATGTGACACTCGGCTAGCACTCTCCATGCCCCTTCTGTACTGTGGCTCCCTTTCGCATCACCTGCTCGAATACTGGTCTTCTGAGTTGCAGTGCGCATAGATAGCTGATTATGTCTGTGGATCACCTGCATTCTATCTAAGGCAAAGGCTGACAGTTAACAAATTCCATAGCTGTGACTGTTGTCTTAAGGTGACCACAGACCGTAGATGTTCATCCAGGCATCTTAGGAAATCGTCTTATCAGATCACCACATGGGTCATATTTTCTTTTTCTTTTTCAGTGAGGAATTGCTGCTAAAAGTGGTTTGCATGTGGCGTTCAGATTTATTATCTGGGAGAAAGAGCTTTGCACGCTAGGGGGCCTGCTCGGCGCGAGGCTGAGCCCGCAGGTGCAGAGTGGTAACCATGGTTTCCTGTAGCTCTGCGGTCTGTGCAGCGGCTGCACGCAGTTCAGTCAGGGATTGCTCTGCAGCTCTGCACTAGCAGTGAGTGGCGGGGGGTCCACTTGAAAGGAGGGACCCCACACTATGCGATTAGGTTCAAACTCTTCAAAACCCAGCCTAGTGATTTGCAGTGTAATTCAACATTTTCTGAGTTACCCAGCAAAATGCTTGCCTTATCCATTAAGCGTATTTCATCATTTAGCTTTAAACATTTAGAACAAGGTGTTATTTTTCTAGAGCAGTGCATTAGACACTCAGGGCTTTCTGGGTTGAGGAAAAAATTTATGTTTTTCAGTTTTTATTTTTTATTAGTGTATGTTTGCAGTACACAGTGGTTACATTCCTGGTGTGGAGTTCGTGCTTGTGCATAAAACATTTTAATTCTTTTTTCTTCCCCTTCCCCTCCCTGCTTTCTCTCTTGGACCCCTTCCCTTTTGCAAAAGAGCCGTCTCCCTATTTCCTCTCATTTGTCTCTTATTTTGCTTTTGATTTACTCTTTGGGTTTCTTATATAAGAGAAACCAGGTGATATTTAAGCTTGTGTATGTGATTTATTTCATTTAACATTATGGTCTCCAGATGCAGCCATTTTCCTTTGAATAATTCAGGTTTCTGAGACACTCAGGCTTATGAGCTCTTCCCTAAGTTGACCGGCTGGGTTCTGAGAGGGATGATTCCTTAGGCCGCTGAGTGACATCTGATAAACTCAAAGCGGGTGGGAAATGGGTAAAACGCAGAGTAGGTGTGGCCCATTCTCTGTTTATTATGTCCCCGGGATGAACACACTCAGGAACTCCTAGTGACTGTCAACTTGGTCTCTTGAACGTAATAATGACAGTCAGCGCCCAGAGGTCCAGCCCCTAAGAGACCAGCCCATGCAACACCTATTTACTATTATTGGTCAACGCATATCAATCTTGTATTTTTCTACTATTTGAATCTTTATACCATTAATGAGCCTTCTAGAAAATAAACTACTAGAATGATGAGTCTTTATAGTATAAGTGTTACTATGGTCTTGTAAACCAAACTGGAAAATTCATCTCCCTAGGACATCAAAATTGAGCAAGAAGCTCATAGCTCCAGCACCTGCACCCAAAGCTGTGACTGTAATTAAACTATTCCTTCACCAATATTGCATTCATATCCTGTATTATTTTACGAACTTAATCCATACTTTTCTTTATCTTGTGTACTTTCTGTAGTAATGCATTGCCCCACTGCTGATGTAACCAATATCATACATGTATTATACTTCATAAAACATAATATATAATCAACATTAAAATAATAGCCCCATGTGTATATTCAAGTATGTAGAACTAAGACAGTATATAACCCGTTAACTTACTAAGAAGCTACCTGTTGTACCAGCCCCACTAAGTTGCTAAGTTGCCCAGGCTGGATGGACTCCAGCTGGAAACACAATATAAAGATTATGATTGAAATACTTTTTAATATGAGGGTCAGGTCCTAAGTCTTTTAAATGTTGTAAATATAGCTTTTACCTGATAAAATATTACTAACTTGATTTCTACTCGATTTGCATGACAGGGTTCAATTCGGGCAAACAGGCAGCGTTTGATGATGAATTTCTGGAACATTTCCTATACAGTCAAGCTTATTGTGGGCATTAGGGGTACCCAGTGTATACATCAGGGTCTGTGTTCCAAAGAGTTGAACTGCTGGTCTAAAAATGCCACACTTGCTTCGAAAGCCAGTCTGACCATCAGAAGTGACGGAGAAATCTGATGATTTGTTAGAGATTGTGTCCCACGTCCCCTGAAGTCCTCTGTTAGGTCGGAGACCTGTTCCCGACCTAAAGGAAGTAATAAAATTGTGTACAGGTCCTACACTTGGTGACATGGGGCTTGGTCTTCATATTGCATATGTGAAGGTGATTTTGGCCTCTGATCAAGGTGTGTATGTTGCAGGTCAAGGATACACAACAGAACCCAGCGGGGTTTGCAGAGCCCACTGTGAAACCTGTCTCTGTCAGCCACCTTCCTGGAAGGAGCTCAGCGGACAGCCCCGGGGACGGCCCCAGAACCAGGGGCAGCCTGCTAGTCCCTAACCCCGATGCCAGGCCTGAACCCATAAACAGCGAGAACTGTCGGGTCCAGTGAAGAGACCCCTGCATCATCGGAACCCCTGGGACGGGGACAGGATGAATCTCCTCCAAGGACTTTTCTTCATCAGAGAGTGCTGTAGCATTCAGGGGCAAACACTCCCTGGGACCTCTGTAAACTTTCCCTTCCATGGCCCACGTGTAAGGGACAAGTATGGAAGCACTGAGGACGCAGTCCTGACAATGGCCCGCTACTGTCATGTAAATAGTCCCGTGTAAAGCTTTCTGGTCACCCGTTACAATTAAATGGCAAGCACCATGACAGCCTCTGTTTGTATGTGGATTTAGCACGTTTTAACCTTCCGCTTGGAAACTTCTAGGAAATGGAAACTTCTGCTTTATGATCTTTCCTATGTGTAGAATTAGACATGAAATTTTTTTTGATCAAAAATTTCTTTGAGCAGAGTGAAATGAAGGAAACTCATGTTATATGTTTCTAAGGAAGACATGTCCTTCTGGTGTGTTTCATACATCACTGTTTATGTAACCTGTACATATGTGTGTGTAGGGGCGGGGGGAGTGTCTGTGTGTTTTCCAGTTAGAGGTGCAGCAGATCATGCTTGCTGTCATTGGACTTTGTTCTTAAGACTGTTATAGTTCTTTGGTGTGCATTTTCATATCTGGTGATGTAGTATTAGAATAGGACCTTTTTCTCCTAATAAAAATCACTTTTTTCTTTGTAAAAATGATTCCTAAATATAAAAGGTGTTATAAATATTGGCACCATTTCTTGCTAATGACTATAGCCTCTTACAAAAGTAAAAATGCTTGAACTAATGACAGAGATATTTGAGTACCCAATATTAGTTTCGTGAATATATTTAGTTACATTAAAAGACACAATTTAGAATGTTGATCATAAAGATTATATGAGAACGTGGCCTATCCAACGAGTACCTAGTATATTATATATTCTGTTTAATCACATTAGCCAGGATACAAGTATGTGCTACTTCCTAGCTCTGTTTATTGAAAGTATTTTGAAAATCTGCAGGCATTACGCACCATATCAAATCTAGAAACACTTGAACAAGCCCTTGCATCCCTGAAGTAAGTAAAAAGTTTTTCAGGACATGGGTTATTAGAAGATAATTTGTTCTTGGCTTTCAGTTAAGATTGATGCTCAAACCTTGACAAAGAAAACATGATTTTATAATTTAAAATCATGCTTTGCAAAGAGGCCCCTGATACTGGATAACATTCACGCATAGTGAGCTACTTAATATTCTTCTCTTGAAAGTGATACCCTGCTTTGCTCCTGTTTCTTCAGTTGCTCTGGGTTGAGGTCAGGTACAAACCCTTATCAGCAATCGTCCCAAAGTTGTCATGTGCCCAAGGGCATGGCCCAGGATGGACATTGCCAGGGACAGGCCGGCGTCTGGAAGAGCCCACTCTATGCCTAGCTGGGTAGTTCCTCAGGTCCTCAGAAGGATCCTCATGTCTTCATAGGTGTGTCATAGCTCTTGCTTTTGCTACTTCTGTCCCTGAATGCAAGGGGTTGACCTCTTGGTGAGTACAAACTCTAGAAGCCCAACCAGGAGATAAGAGAGGTATCTGCTGGGAGCACCTAAGGAGAGAGTATGGGGGCTCATTCTCAAAGCAGTGCCTGTGCCTGAACAAAGCAAGCAAAGAGCTGCTCCTGGGGAAGCTCGTGCATGTTCATGTAGAAAACATCGTCACAGCTACATGTGGGCACATTCCTGAGCATGCCCAGTTTCAGTGCATGCTGCTCAATAGCTTGTTCAAAAATGACAGACTGGAAGTCCCGGGTGGAGAAGTCAGCATTACACTGTAATACGTGAAACTGCTTTAGGTCACCTAGAAGAGGGGCTGGGTGGCTTTGGCTGGTTTAAACCAGTGCTTTGCAGTCTTCTCTGGAGGGCCTCATCTGAAATTAACCAGTTAAAACCATCATTTTTTTTTTTTTTTTTTTTGTTTTTCTCCGGTACCGGGAACCGAACTCACGACGTTGCACTTGCCAGGCAGGCGCTTTGCCTCTGAGCTAAATCCCCAGCCCAAAACCATCATTTTAAGGAGTATCAGCCCTTTCCCTGAAACTCTAAATGCTTGCCCCTAAAAGTGCCTACCTAGTGGCTAATATTCTCATTTTTATAATTGTAGGACATTGTTCAAAATCTTATTTTAAGAAGACAGACCATTAATTATTCTCTTCCTCAAGCTGTCAGTACTTGTGATACTATAAGCTGAGACCAGTATGAGATGAAAAGTAAATATGATACACGCCCGTGCTCTCTGTCACCTTCTAAAGTGGTTGAGTTACAAGATCCCAGCTGACAAACCGTATGGTGAAATAGACCAAGTCGAGAGATCAGGGAGTCCCTCAGCTCTCATCCGTATATCAAGGGCTTGGTTGAAATGGTAACTCTTCCTTGACCATTCTGTAGGCACTGACAGCCCCTTTGTGTTACCGGTAGTTGTCAAAGCTGACTAATAAAAGGGAATAAAACATGTAAATCCAGCCTGATTTGTGAAGTTATCCCTTCACTTCTCCCTCCTTCCCTGTACATCTTTGAGATTTCTGATTTTTCCCACTTGACCTCAATTTATGTGTTTTATTGGGACTTGCAAAGTGTCAGGTATGTTTACACCTGAAAAAAGTCAGCGTCCTTCCCGTAAGTGGGAGGGGACACCTCTTCCATCTCCCTAAAGTTTTGATTCTGCAAAGGGCCTCTAACTAATCTCAGGTCGTTCAGAACATTGATAGTTATTTTAGAATTTACAAATTCTTCCAAAATTCTCTGGGCTATGGCAATACATCATGAAGAGATTTAAATGCAGCCTAGCCACGATTAATTCTTTCAAGTCAGGTGGATAGCACCAGTTGGAAGTTGGGTTGATCACTAGTGTGGTTTTCACTCCCTTGTGGATAAAAGAGGGCGATGCAGTGCTTTCTCCCAAGTGCCTGGAGCTGGTAACCACCCTCCTAGCTGACCTATGCCCTCCCCAAACTCTGTTGGCACAAACTGCCTTCCCCTTGCACAAAGGCATTCCAGAAGAACTTGGCCATTCTCATCAGAAAAGCCTGAGGATCTAAAGCTTGTGTCCTTCCCTGGCACAAGTGTGACTCTAGTGCCCCTCCTCACCTGAGCTGTGGCAGAGCTACTAAACACTGGGTGGGAAATTATACCCACTTCCCAAGGTGCTTTCACAGGTGTGCTCAAACCCTACACTTGTGCGAGGTGCACATTAGACTCCCCTTTTATATATAAGGCAGAGATGAAGTAACAGACAGTGGGAGAACTGACTCTTGGATCTGGGGAGATCTGGATCAATAACTAGAAAGTGCAAAGCAAGGATTCTCCTCATTGTATATGGGATGGAAGGAGCTCAGAGAGTTGAAGTATTTGTCCTGGAAGTGGCGAACTGAGGTTTGACCTCAGCTTCCTCCATAAGTGTGGAGCCCGTTCCTGTTTGTCCTTTGCCCCCCTGGAAGCAGGCTGTTCTGGGACAATTCTGATGGTGTCCATACTACAGATGACGGAAGCAGCTCTCCCACTTCCTACGTACAACAGAGCCACTCCTAAGTCTGGGATGATCGCATCTGATTTGTGTTACCTGTACTGAATTTTCAAAATATAAAAGAGACCAGCTATCAATTCCAACCCAAAGAAATTAGTGCCCACTAAAAATGCATACGCATCATTAAATAAAGGTAGATCCTTTTAAAGAGCCTCTTTTGGAAAATGGTAAAGTCTGAAGATTTATAAGGCCTTGACCATAAAAGTTTAGTAGTATGGGACATCACAAGTTGAAGTTGGTAGTTGGAATGCCCAAGTTCCCCCTTTGACCAGAGTACTTCTTTGTGCTCAAGTTTAGCTCATTGGTAAAATTGGGTGCAGTGATGCCTCTCGGAGTTCTTATAGTGATTAAATTGGCTAATTGGCTAATACTTAACTGTCCTTGTGATCTTGCACTTGGTGAGGTGTCACCCCGTGTACAGTTGTTGCATGGGTAGTTTTCAAAAATATTGCAGCTTAAAATTATTAGATAAATCCGTTCTTCCTACATAATTCCTTCTTTCTGTCCTACAAAATTCTCACCAATCTCAATGCTATGAATACTTATTTTTCAAATAAAATTAATCACTATAGATTTGTACATATTATTCAATTACTGATTGTTTGCTTTGGATCCTTAAAAATACCTAAAGAAAACAATCACTGCAATTTTACTAACAAATGAGTTGTGGTCCCAGAGTTCAAATATAAGTTGGTTGTTTGGACTAAGACTACATTTCTTTAGAGAACCAGCATAGCAACTTTTGCCTACATCCAAGCCCAGAAAGCCGATTTAGCCCATAAGATATCAAAATGGCAATCAGGTTTGTTTCAACTGTACGAAACCTCCGTTCATAACATCCTTTCTCTGGAGCAATACATTTTAAGAATGAGTTTGTCTGAAGCTCATTTTTCTACCCCTCAGTCATTTTTCCAGCGCGGCCCATTCTTTCCTTCCCACTTTGAGGTAGAGAACAGGAACTGTCTAAGGGTCTCAGGACGGCGATGAGGCTATAAAGTCCTGTCTGCCTCCTCTCACACAGCAGCTGCTCCCAGTCTGAAAGGGAAAGTGATGCATCGGGTTGGCTCTGCTGCAGGTGAAGGCGGCTCTGGGGAATGCTAGTGTATTTAAGTCAAAATTCATAAAGTTCACTTTCAGATTTTGTTCCAGCCCACGAAGTTCCCACCAGCCTCCATCCTCAGAATCCACATTAGCAGATGAGGAAGATTACTGTCTTATTTATTCCCTTCTTCTGTGGCGTATCTCCATGACCAGAGGGTGGTGCGGGAAAATACATTTGCCAAACCAGATACGTGCAGCTTCAAATACCTTATCTCACTTGATATTAAATAATCCCGGGAAGTCTCAGGAAGAGACCTACACAGTGAAGTTTCTGTCTTAACATGGGGTGCTGGGTCTCGAGCTCCCCACCCAGAGCTGGTCGTATTTTACCAGTCAAAAGGAGAGGGACTTAGTCTACAAAGAACTATAAGCCCAGCAGGGTCCTTTCATAATTCCATTCCATTCTGAACACAGTGGGGGACAGAAGGTTAGGGATTAATGCAGTTTTTCACTCCTAAGGAAAATTTGCTTTATCTTACTTCATAGAAGCTGTTGATGTAGTTGGAGATTTGGCAGTCAGATTTCCACCAAAAAGGACACCGTTTAAGCATAGGGAGTTTTACTTCTTCCAGCTTTGTTTTTTCCAGTGCTGCTTTGGCAAGGGGTAGGAAAATAGGCAGCTTTCCAGGTATAGGCCATCTAGCAAACGCTGGGATGGATATTTCTGAGTTTTAGGTTTGCTGGATGTTGCAGCTACAGCTGTGTTATCTAACAGAATCTGCTGGCTGGGTGCCCATGCCTCCTGCTGGACCTTGACCCTTTGGCAGGCCACGTGAGGGTCTGCTTTATTCTGGAAGCCATGTTTGTTGCTTCATCTTCTTGGGCTCAAGCCAGCAGAGGACCAGGAGGGTGCGCTGGGTTAGCCCACAGTGCTTTGCTCCCTGTGCGCTATTTACGCACAGCCTATGTTGTGTTCCTACGTATTGGCCTGGCGGTTACTTTCCTTGGACATGTGGAGAGGGAGGCAAGTGCCACTGCTCTGATTTGATTACAGGCATGGCGGGTGCAGAGACCATCTTTCTTCTAAAATAGCCCAGGCTTGGAG